GACATACAAAGATGTTCATATTTATGACCCCCCCATGTACCCCCTGACCCCAGGCACCCCCCCTGACCTATGGCACCCCCCCTGACCCCAGGCACCCCCTCCTGACCCCAGGCACCCCCCTGACCTTGTACTCCCTCTGATCACTTATACCTCTTGTTACGTGGTATAAGGGGTGGTTAGGGGTATATGAGCTCAGGGGGTACATGGGGTCAGGGGGTACATGGGGTCAGGGGGGTACAAAGGGTAAAGGGTGCAAGATCTGGAGTCTGGGTGGTCCTTTGGTCCTCATCCCTTTCCCTGTCTGTTGGTCATCACCCCTTTCCCTATCTGTTGGTCCTCATCCCTTTCCCTGTCTGTTGGTCATCACCCCTTTCCCTGTCTGTTGGTCCTCATCCCTTTCCCTGTCTGTTGGTCATCACCCCTTTCCCTATCTGTTGGTCCTCATCCCTTTCCCTGTCTGTTGGTCATCACCCCTTTCCCTGTCTGTTGGTCCTCATCCCTTTCCCTGTCTGTTGATCCTCACCCCTTTCCCTGTCTGTTGGTCCTCATCCCTTTCCCTGTCTGTTGGTCCTCATCCCTTTCCCTGTCTGTTGGTCATCACCCCTTTCCCTGTCTGTTGGTCCTCATCCCTTTCCCTGTCTGTTGGTCCTCATCCCTTTCCCTATCTGTTGGTCCTCATCCCTTTCCCTGTCTGTTGATCCTCACCCCTTTCCCTGTCTGTTGGTCCTCATCCCTTTCCCTGTCTGTTGATCCTCACCCCTTTCCCTGTCTGTTGGTCCGCGTTCCCGTGTCCAAGTTGGTTCTAATTATCAAGTACTCCATCTCCTCCCAAGTTACGGCGGCGGGTTGTAGTCGTGGAAGATCTTGACCTCGCCCCCGCGGCAAAAATAAGTCTGGTTTAAGAGAGGTTTTTTTGTCCTCTTGTGTTTTTCTTGGTCGGGAGATGAACAGAATGTGACTCACTCGCTTGGCGCCACGACGGTGACGTCACAACTGGGGGGGATGATTTATTCGTGGGTTAGGTGTGTGTGGGGGAGATGACGTGGTGGCGTCGCGGCGGTGGGCGGGGTCTAGGGGGGTCGCCCGGGCCAATCACAGCCTGATGTATTCGATTTCACGTGACGCAATGGGTTGCGAGGGGGAGTAAGCCACCAATCACAGGGTCGGGAAGAGGTTTGTGCGTCGGTGACGTCAGCGAGGGGTGTACGCTGCCAAGTCTTTGGAATGCTGGTGTCTGTCTGTCGCCCTTACCGAATTGGATTAATGGCAGAGCTCGAGGAGACCCACTCAGGGAGAGAGATAAAGAGTGCATTACGGCCCGCTATGAACTGTCAGTGAAAATATGTCGCTGGCGTCCTCTGGCGCTTGATACTTGGCAACTTACAGCAGTCACTTGTTGACGTGTGATCCGTGCTCCATAGACCTGTCGGTTAAAAAAAGGGGAGTTTCACCGTCTATGTTGCCTATGTGACCAGTAGGGAGACCGGGTCGCGGAGCCGTTGATCCCCGGAAGCTACACAAGGCAGACAGTGGCCTGAAAGTCAACTGTCTGAAGATGACCAGATTACAAACATGACATTTGTTCTGATTTTCAGATCAGAAAATGTACACACTAGCACTTTGAGGATGCAATATGTAAATCAATGTTTTATGTTTTCTCTAACTCTTGGAGTATGCAATTCTATCTTAAAGTAAGAAAATTAAATTAAAATCAAATTAAAAACATGTAAGTATTAACAAAACCACACAAACACACACACACACACACACACACACACACACACACACACACACACACACACACACACACACACACACATACACACACATATATATATATACTTGGATATACAAAATTCCTAATTAAATTCTGATACTGATGTAAGCTCCTGAAATTTGGATAAAGAGTTAATCCTTAATTCTACATTTTCTTTTAGGATTCCGAGAAGTTAAAAGAAACGAGTGAATGAAATTCTGAAATTAAATAATTTTATATAAATATTTCTTAGTATTAGAGTGACGTACTTCAAAATTCTACTAATTAATGATTTTTCGTTTATAATAACAAGGTTAATAATTGTATTAATCAATAATAGCTGATACGGGTTAAATATTGGGAACTCTTAATTATTTATAAGGAAAATCCAATTAGTTTCCTTGCAAGTGTACAGTGAACAACGTCACACGACGTAATCTGGACTATTGGGATAAACCAAAATGCGTCACGTGACGTAAGCCGTCATCTGGGGCCAGATTCACGAAGCAGTTACGCAAGCACTTACGAACCTGTACATCTTTTCTCAGTCTTTGGCGGCTTTGTTTACAATTATTAAACAGTAAATGAGCTCCGAAGCACCAGGAGGCTGTTTATAACAATAACAACAGTCGATTGGGAAGTTTTCATGCTTGTAAACTTTTTAATAAATGTAAACAAAGCCGTCAAAGATTGAGGAAAGATGTATGTACACGTTCGTAAGAACTTGTGTAACCGCTTCGTGAATCTGGCCCCTGGATACATGGGGGGGGGGGGGGAAGCATAGTGGAAAGATGAGAGAGATTGGGACGAATGGGTGGAGGTGGCTGTGGCCAGGACTCCATTACCACTTAGGTGATGATTGGAGAGGGCAGGAGCTAATGGAGGGAGGGGTAGGTGGTGGCAGCGTGCGTGAGGTCCAGGAAGGTTATCTTGAGATGATTTCGGGGCCTTAGTGTCCCCACGGCCCGGTCCTCGACCAGGCCTCCACCCCCAGAAAGCAGCCCGTGACAGCTGACTAACGCCTAGGTACCTATTTTACTGCTAGGTAACAGGGGCATAGGGTGAAAGAAACTCTGCCCATTGTTTCTCGCCGGCGCCCGGGATCGAACCTGGGACCACAGGATCACAAGTCCAGCGTGCTGTCCGCTCGGCCGACCGGCTCCCTGTCGGAGCCGTTTGGTGGTGGTGGTGGCAGCGTGCGTGATGTCCAGGGAAGGTGGTGGAGGCTTTATCTTCTTTACGGCTGTGTTAAGTGTTGGCGTCACGCCCCTTTCTTACCTAAATACTTTGAGCTGTGTATGGGGTGAGAATAGCTTGAGCTACCTCATCCCTTTGTGTGTATTTTACCTCAATAAACTTATTTCAATTGAGCTGTGTAGCCACGTCATACAGTCACGGATAATAAGAAGATATCCGCATGCTCTCCTAGCCAAGTTTGCTAGTACAAGACAATAAACTAGACTCACATCTTATGTCTTCTCCTGATTCATATATATGACCAGGGGGGGGGGGGGAGATTCAAGAAGATATATATACAGGTAGAACAATAACTGACCATCCATCCTGTGAGATGTGGAGATTACTAAAGGAACCTGCAGCTAGTAGCTCTTGACCTATATTTTGTAATCATATAGAATAAGGGAGCAGCACACTGATATACTCACATTATACGTATGATTCTGTATGATCATCATTCGCACACACTGATGTATATGCCTAATGCTAATAATACGAAAAATTTAAGCGGTGGGGGGAGGGTAGAATGTGTAAAAAGTGTCTAGGGAAAACAGCATGGCTAGTCTAGACGGCTTCCTATGATACGCGTGTGTCCGTTTTGGTTGGTGAGTCGTATTATATCTGATACATTGTGTGTGTAACAGTTGTTGCGCTGAATGACGTGTTTGGCGCTGAAGTCCCGGCTCCAGTTGTAATGAAGGAGTCATTTCCTTCCCGGGGTAAAGCTAGGCAATGGTTATTTATGTAACAATGAATCAACGCTGATAACGGTGATTTTACGTTACTTAACCATGGTGTGTGTCCGCTAGGCTGCAGTGAAGCAGTTGAACTCTATGGTATGAAGATGATTATAATTCCCAAGGTTCAGCTGAAGAACTTTTTCATTATGCAGTAGACTCATTATATTAGGCTACTTCTGCTACACATAAGCAGGCTGTTTTGCCGTGATTTACCTAGTCAGGTATTTAAGCCATTAAGAATGGCTTTAACAGTTGTATATTTATATATATTCAGACTTAATGTGCAGTATGATGCAGTTTTTAAATATTTACTATATACAAACTGATCTTCCTTCCACCCAACTTATGTTTAGACGCAAATGTAAACATATGTATGTGGTAGTAGACCCACCTCTTCGTTCCCTTCCCAAAACCGTTTTTCACCAAGATTGAAAAGCAATCTTTGGTATTGTCTCAATAAGCATAATTGAACATGGAGGTTACCAGCTTCCACAGAGGCAGGTAACCTACACACACAAATCATGAAGATAGAGCCAAAACTAAAATACTCATTTCAGAATGAAAACATGAAAAGAGAGAGAACAAATTTGCATGTACTTTATTAGGCCACTTACTTACAAGCAGTATATACCTGGATTGTACCTGGATGGGGTTCTGAGAGTTGTTTTACTCCCCAAACCCGACCCCGGGGCCAGGCTTGACTAGAGGCCTTGGTCCAACAGGCTGTTGCTTGGCACGGCCCACAGGCCCACATATCCACTACAGCCCGATTGGTCTGGCACTTCTTGAAGAAAACTATCCAGTTTTCTCTTTAATACATCCATGTTTGTTCTGGTAATATTTCTTATGTTTGCTGGAAGGATGTTGAACAGCCATGGACCTCTGATGTTCATGCAGTATTCTCTGATTGTGCCTATGGCACCTCTATTCTTCACTGGGTCTATTCTGCATTTCCTTCCATATCGTTCAATCCAGTATGTTGTTATTTTACTGTGTAAATTTGGGACCTAGCCCTCCAGTATTTTCCATGTATATACCTGTATTATTTTGCCTGCAGGCCGCTCCAACCTATGCTTAGAGCAGCCTCGAGGCATTCATATCAACTACTACCTGCTTGAATTAGTCTGTCACTTTGTTCCACCAACATTTCTTATTCTTGCGGGGAGGTTATTGAAAATAACCTTGGACCTCTTCTAAACGTCTTCATAAAACAGTGATAAATTATTATCTATGGTGCAGTTTTCTAAAAGATTGTTTCTTTTTTTCAGGTCAAAGGGTTACCATCCTGGATGCATTGGGACAGCCACCGTGGAGTGGTGGAAGGTGTCCCTCGGCCAGCAGACCGCGGTCATCACTATGTCACCATCAGGGCTGAAGGAAAAGATGGCTCTCAGGCAAAGGACGTCTTTGCTGTTGATGTTGTAGACCTGCCAGGTCAGTCATCTTATGCTTCACTTACTATATTTTACTCATGGCTATTGCTTAGAATTTTTCTTTTAAGTGATGCTGGACTACTCTGATGTTACTTTATAAATACTGTATCGTAAATGTCTTCTCTTGTGGTGTTTACATTAGTGTTTTCTTGAATGTACAGTATTACTGTATATCTCTCTTAATATTCAATTTGAAAGCCATAGTAATTTTACTAATTACTGTACATGTTACTGTACGTTTTGTTAAGTGTCTGTACAGATGAGAATTACACTAATATATATAATATATATATATATATATATATATATATATATATATATATATATATATATATATATATATATATATATATATATATATATATATATATATATATATATATATATATATATATATATATATATGTATATATATATATGTATATGTATATACTATGATAACAGTATATAAGGAGTATATACTGTATACAGTTAAAGAGTACTGTAGTTAACAACTGGAATGCATTATAAAGTTATGTGGTGGAGGCTGACTCCATACACAGTTTCAAATGTAGATAAGAAAGAGCCCAATAGGCTCAGGAGTCTGTACACCAGTTGACTGATAGTTGAGAGGCGGGACCAAAGAGCTACAGCTCAACCCTGCAAGAACAACTAGATGAGTATAGTATAAGGGGCGATGAGTCACAATAACGTGGCTAAAGTATGTTGACCAGACCACACACTAGAAGGTGAAGGGACGACGACGTTTCGGTCCGTCCTGGACCATTCTCAAGTCGATTGTGAATCGACTTGAGAATGGTCCAGGACAAAGTGAAAAAGAGTACACATTTCATCGCTCTATAGCGCTCCCGGGTAACACGCTTTCACTTCCTCTGTTTTGTGCGGGTGGTACGCCGGGCTTTCAGACTTCATATGTATTTAATCGCGTAGAGAATTCTATTGCGAACACATTGATATCAAATTGAAAAACCTAGGACAAGAATTGAGATGACAAAGTTGAAAAGAGTATACACTTTTCAGTATTACCAAGCTCTAATGGACAGCTAGACGCGCCTCCCTGCTCTCTTCCAGGTAACCATGGCCTGGTTTCATCACGTCCGCGGGTTAAGCGCGCCACGGTTTTTGACATTATATGCATATACTCCTGTTGGGAATTCTATTGCGAACCCATTGATACCAAAATGAAAGACCTAGGACGAAAATTGAGGTGACTAAAGTGAAAAGAGTGTACACATTTTATAGCTCTTGTGTGCTCCTGGGTAACTCGCTCTCACTTTCTCTGTTTGCTGTGGGTGGTAAGCCGGGCTTTTGGAGTGTATATGCTTGTAGTCCTGTAGAGCATTCCATTTAAAATATACTCCTCCACTACCCTTTGCCTTCCCAACCATTCATCACCTTCCCTGTCATTCATCAATTTCCCTACCCTTCACCACTTTCTCTACTCCTCACCCCTTTCTATTCATCCCGTGAATCTTAGTGAAGATGGTGTCTTTTATAATTAGTATGTTTTGCCATTTTATGCGAAAGGGGGTGGGAGGGAATGGGGATCGACCTTGACCCCATCTATGACAAGTCACTCTGCAAAGTTTGGTGAGACTGGCCCCATTCATCTGGTCCCAACTTTGGACAGACGGACAGACTAGACAGTCATTCTCTCATAATTACATAGATCTTACTGGAACAGTATTGGAAACTTTCAAGAGGGAACCTCACAAGCTTCTTGAGTTACCAGATCAGCTTGGCCGTGATGGCTATTTGGGCCTTTGTGCTACAAAAATATACAGTATCACAAATCAGGTAACCGAAAGGAAAAGCCTGGCCCCAGACTCGGGCTGCAAGAGTATAAGAACTGTCAAAATTGTCACAGGTAATAATCAGCAGATCCCTGAAAAAAAAGAGCAGGTGCAACAGTGGTACTGTGTTAATGTTCTGTGAAAGGAGACGTGACTACATCAGTAATTTGCTATGCCTACTCTTATTATTGTCAGATTTACGGTACTGTACATCTGTGTTAGTGTTCAGTATGCTTCCATGCATTATACATTTTGTCAGCTCGTGCAGCTTTTAATATCCATTTAATAATTCTAATTTACTTAATTCTCTTCTTTTCATAACTTTGCAGAATTGTTCTAACAAATATATTTTACTTTTGTCACATCACATTCAGATATACTGCATTGAAGACATCTACAAAATATGTAGGCCTAGTTTATTTAAACAAATGTGAGAAGCCATATCATTAAATTTTTGTTATCACCTTTGTATAATTGTGCTATATCATATTTAATACTACACTATATAGCTATGCATGAATATTTTAGGGTGGGAAGAGTATTTTTCTATAGTAAAATTAATTATTCTTGACTAAAAACTTGAATATAAGTAGGGTTGTCAATTCACAAAGGGTTTAGGTGATTAAGAGGGATTTAAAAAGGCAACCCCCCATCCCAAATGATAACCCTGATTTTGTAGTGTATAGTACAGTACTACTTTTGTTACTCAAATTGATTGTCCACTACAGCCATAAGCATTTGAAAAGTGTAGTTGCTTGATTGTTATTGCCATTCTTTTAAGTAAACATAAATGACACAACATAAACTGATAATTTCCAAAATTTAATAATAAAATGTATACATAATATAAATATAATCAAATTACAGTATTTGTAACCAGGAAGTTGGTGAACTCATTACTGAAGCAAGTTATAATAGAATTGAGGTCAGGTTGTTAATAGTGTTTGTTTAAGCTTTGCTTATCATGTGTTATGACAAGGCCAGTGACCCATGCATGTGAGACATTCTGGAGTAACTGGTTGCTGGCTCTTGTCCCTATGAGAGAGTGTTTCCCATGTGCCTGGTGTCAGCACTTGTCTTTGTTCTTGATACTGGCACAGGTTTACGGCATGGTGACAGTATAAGCCGGCATGGTGACAGTATAAGCCGGCATGGTGACAGTATAAGCCGGCATGGTGACAGTATAAGCCGGCATGGTGACAGTATAAGCCGGCATGGTGACAGTATAAGCCGGCATGGTGACAGTATAAGTGGTGACAGTATAAGCCGGCATGGTGACAGTATATGACAGTACAAGCCGGCATGGTGACAGTATAAGCCGGCATGGTGACAGTATAAGCCGTGCTCAATTTTAGTTTTATGTAATTATAAAACAGACTTGTTTGAAATTGAGCATATTCATGATTTCTGTTGCTTATAAAGTAACCTATTTTTTTTCCTTTAGAAGTTAATTTTTGTTATGGTCTCTGGCTGTGTGTTATGTTTTGTCCATTCTTTGTATATGTTAGAAGACTGTGCTTATCTGGGGAGTTTGACTTTTGGCTTTGTTATTAGCTTTATAGATCCACTATACCACATCGCGGGGACACTAAAAAGCCCCGAAATCATCTCAAGATAACCTCAAGGTCCACCCTCCTTCTCCCTTACTGTGTCCTTGCTACTTGTACACTAGACAATACTGTGTGGATGGGCGCATCTGATCTCACGATCATCGTCACCCCTAAGTCAACAACATACTGTTACATAACACTTAGTGGGCCAGCCTGAGGATTAGGGCCCATGCAGGAATATCCCTGCAAAAAAAAAAAAATACATTTTGAATATCTAGAGTTATCTAGATATATGTTATCCAGATTTATTAGGAACCGTTGTTTCCTTTTGACACACAAATGATATTAATTACAGATGTGACATTCATTGCATCTTATTTATGCACATGCATTTATACACATATCTCTACATACATATACAGTACTGTACTGTATTTTATACTGTGTATACTGTACTGTATTTTCAAAGTTATACAGTACACAATGAAAACCATCTTTGACATATCAATACAACCTGTTAACATAAGACTAAATCAATAAAGTGAGAAACAATGAAAATAAATTGACAAGTTTATTCCTGTGTGGCACTTAACTTCATTTCTAAGGAAAAAATGTAACTTCTAGATACATATTAACAATGTACTGTATACAGGAAAAATTATTTTTCCAAATAATTTTTTCATAAGCACCATGGGTTTGTCAACATTTAACAGGTGCACTGTGCAGGGGTTAGAAATGTAAACATAACACTGGATACAAGTCAATACAGCTGTTATAACTAGTGATTTTGTAGCTAATAGCTTGTAGTATTTGATTTCATTAAGCTATTTAAAATTTCAGGTACCACGTTATCTCGTGAAGTTGGCTGCCACCCAAAGGAGGATGTGACAGTTCTCTCTGTGATTCTTGATGCCCATCTCCCAGCACTGGAATCCAAGGCACGGGTCAGACTCCTTCGATCTGCCATCAAGTTCTTGAGAGCAAAGGAGGTAGGTACACTACACGTTATGTTCGTGTTCGTTATGTTCGTGTTCGTATGTTATATGTAAGAGAATATGGATTGGGAATGGTATGGTTGTTCATTTGGTTGGAAATTCTAATATCAGTTGGTTCTGATAACTTGATACCTTTAGGTATCTTATGAAATAGAATGACTGTCCAAGGTTGGAGGCCAGACACTGGGATCTGCCACAATAGGTAACATTTTGGTATTTTGCCCAAAACTCTTATTCTGAAGATCAAATATCTGGATGAATGTTTCATAATGTTGACATTTTTTTTTTTTTTTTTTGAGATATATACAAGAGTTGTTACATTCTTGTACAGCCACTAGTACGCGTAGCGTTTCGGGCAGGTCCCTGGAATACGATCCCCTGCCGCGAAGAATCGGTTTTTCATCCAAGTACACATTTTACTGTTGCGTTAAACAGAGGCTACAGTTAAGGAATTGCGCCCAGTAAATCCTCCCCGGCCAGGATATTAATTGGGATATCCCAATTAATTATTTTGTTGACATGATTTGATCATAGCTGATTATGACAGTGAAAGGATTAGAGACAGGGTATGCAGACAACCATAATATTGTTCCACACAAGTACACACAAATAAAATTCCAAAATATTTTCAGTCTCACGAACGTAAGAGTAGAGCATAACAAATGCCAAACTGTGTACTGTATTGTGTAACAAGTTCAACACCAACTGGGAAACCTGCAGTGTACCTAAATGGTGGAGAATGTTTTGCAATCCGGCAGGCTATGGAATACCTGTACCACCGTGATGCCATTCAATCGAGATACTGTGTACATTCTTGGATTATGAAATATTACACCCAATAGATCACCAAGAGTAGTTCTCAATCCAGAACAGGAACTTATTTACTGAATCTCTTGATGGCATACATGATGTAACTCTTCTGAGGAAGTGATGGCTTGCCTGTAGCATTTACACAATAGGCAAATGTCACATTTTGTGTAATAATATTTAAACGTTGATATAATGCCTGATCCATGGGCTGGAGAAATTGGTTGCTGGTGGATTAACATGTAGTTGGTTTTTAAGGTCTGGCAGTGCCCTGGAATGCCCTATTAAGAATGAGCAAAGCTTTAAAAGCCAGATTCTACTAATGCCAGTAGCTTTTCATCTCATTGCAGGATGTATGAATGCACAGTCATTAAGAAATACTTCAATTTCAAGGCTATGGGATTAAATGTGGTAAATCAACAGAGGGTAACAGCATTTCCATGAAGGAGACTAGCTACCTTTTGTTTTATAGCTATGTTGCCTGGAATCCTGTTCTGTTTGGCATTCACATTGTCCAAGTTTCATCGGCATTAAACACTTGTGATGTGTAGCCACCAGCTTCTACTGTATGGTAGCTTTCAACTCTGAGGACTTGGCCTACCTGCTTTGTCAGGTCTTACAGCCTCACCAGTGATTTTAACATTATGAAGCAGCTAGCTCTTCATAAAATTATAAAACCAACCCCATGTTGATCTCCAAGGTCAAAATTTCTTCGATTGATAGTGATCAACACTCTTCCTTCTGCACTTGGGTTTCTTATATCTTCAAGGCCTTAACAGAGATCACGTTAAAATTAGGCAGCACGCTGCTGATCTTGCACTTACACCTAAGATGCCAGCAATTTTTTAATTTTCTCAATCACAGAATTTCTTAACCTTGATGCCATCTGAACACTAAGTAGCAGACGCCATTTTCCAGCCTGAATAATAATTTCATGCACTGCTTTTAAGGTGAGACATGAGGTGTGGCTCGCTCTGCTCATCATGTCATCGCTATGAATCATGCAAGACTATACTCAACCCACATAATTCTAATTCCCCTCTTACTTCAAAACTGCATAAATCATAGGCATGCCTATATTTAAAATACACATACTAAAAAACCTATATGTTTCTGTGGCATTAAATAGTATTTTTACGTGGTATTAAGATATAGTGTACTGGTTGATGCCAGGGCATGACGGGAAAGGAGGTTCCTTTTGTTTATTAAGGAATAAACTTGGCTTGTAATCTAGTTTATTAAATTTACTTTTTTTTTATTTTACTCATTATACAGTATTTGGAAGAAAAATGGAAAATGGTTCTAGGTTGTGTTTGTCCCTCAGGTATCCCTTGTGTCGGCTCCACACGACTCGGATCCTCTAGCAGATGACTCGGCCATTCTAGCTGGGCCAGGAAGTGCTAGGCCGGGCAGCACTGGACGCCGCTCAGAAAGTCTCTCTCAACTGCAGTGGGCTGTGGGATGTGGTGGGGAAGTTTCTAAGACCAAGCAGATAGAAGTCGATCATACTGAAGCAACATCCAAGAGTGGAGAGCTTCAAAGAGCGCTGTCTGTCCCGGTTTTAGGCTGGCATGTGACCCAGGTACTCAAGGAATATTACAGATATCCTTCATTGTTTTTACTCTACATTTGAAATTATATTATAGTTACAAATTACCTGTTCTATATTAGTTCACATCTGGGAGTAGAAGAACTCCCAGAACTCCATCATGAAGAAATCAAGCAAGTACAGTAGTTAAAATTTGCAGATATTAGTGTCTTGCAGAGTACTTTATATTTGTGGTGTCCCTTGTAAACGCTGAATTTTGTGCAAGACTGAAAGTTAGCAAGCAAAACAAAAAATATAATATTACAGGAATTTGAGTTGTATTAATAATAACAAATATAATTATAAATATAATTATAAATATAATATGCCAATGGTAGATTTAATATATTTAGTGCACAAGTATATTTGAGCCATGGAAGATTTTTTTGTTTAAATGTTACATGGAAGATAGAACTTACTTTGTAACATATAATTTACATTATTTTATGAGTAGTGTTTAATTGCAATTATAACATAACAGATGCTATAAGATGTAGACATTGCTGTATATATGATATATCTCTGAGGAAACGGTTCGGCAATTGGCAGACACCTACTTCTTTTCTTCCTTCCGATAGGGCCTGTGTTGTGCAGATTTTATAACAGCTATACAAATGTCTTTTTATTTGAGACATTCAAAACATGTAACTTATATTCAAATTCAATTTACTATCATTTGAAAGATGTTTAGCCAAATTATATCTTGACAGTGAATGTAAACAGCATTTTGCTGTTCTTTTTTAACCTAGGTGCAATTGTATTTATATGACTACCCTAGTCTATATGAAGGAGTATTTGGCAAGCTATCTGTGTAGCTAGTTACTGGTGTAACTCTTCATAGTCCTGGGAAACCAAGCCAAAATTGTAAACCTAACCCTGGGGTTAGTTGAATATTTGTGTATAGTATATACAGGATAGTGCCCAGGACTTTGTTGCGGTAGTAACCAGAGTAAATGTTTATCAATCAAATAATTTCAGTAGCATCACAGGCTGAGTATAGCATAAATGAGAGGATGTTTCAGCATAGTATTTAGGTGTTCTGCTTTGGTAGTCATTAACATTATGACTGCTAAATTTTTTTAATTTTGAATCTATTAGTTACGCACCTCTTCTAAATGACTAACCTTTGGCTACATTAACAGGAAACAATTCTAAGCTGTGAATTATTCTGGCAAGGAGGGAAGAAAGTAACAATTTATGTGAGGAAACGATTTACGAAACACTGATTTGCGTATTTCTTCCAGGTGAACCCTTCTTCTCGGAGGGTTAGAAGGCAAGCAGAATCCTCAGGTGACTATTATGACAATGAGGAGAACTACGATGATTACGACTATGAATATGCAGAAGGTGATGAGGAAGAGGGAGAAAAAGTTTTGTTTGATTATGACGAGCCTGAAACACGAGTAATCCCTTCCCTGGCCACCCCCATCTTCCCCGAAGCATCTGCAACATACCCGGGGCATGGTGGTTATTCAGATGGTTCTTTGCACTTTTCACCTGTTCCTATCTCAACACCCGTCTATGTAAGTACACTCCTCTATACAGAATGTTTCGGTAATGCAATTTTCCTTTGCATATTTTCAGTTTTTTACCTGTGTGTTCCTAGCCAGCTTCCAAACTACTTGTCTTTGTACCAAATGGTATTTAAATATGAATCTCGCTGATCCAGAAGTATTTCATAGTTTTCAAGTCTGCCTTGATTTGCTATTATATGCCTTGCCTTATGTTACCGTACTCTTCCCTAATTTGCCGTATTTTACCCCTGCCCTACCCAACCTTACTCTACCCTACCTTACCCTGTCCTATTTTACCTTACCCTCCCCTACCCTCACCTTACCTTGCTCAATCTAACCTTATTTTGCCCCCCCCCCCCTTCCCTGCCTTGCCTTGCCCTGGCCTGCCTTACCTTACCTTACCTTCCCCTCCCCTCCCCTCCCCTCCCCTCCCCTCCCCTCCCCACCTTAGGTTAGGTTAGGTTAGGTGGGGGCAGTCAATTGTTTATGTTCTTTATCCTTTACTCCTTGCCCTGCCCTATCTAATCTAACCTTAGCCCCTGGGCCTGCCCTGCAATGTCTTAATTTTAACATTTCCATCTCAATTTCAGTGTGGTTTCAGTAGACTCTTCAGTCAATGTTTGAACATTCAACTGTTTATGTTCTGTATCAACTCGTCTAATCTAAAAGTTGTCATTCAATTTAACAGTTGCTTGCTTGTGGCCATTTATGAGTTTTACTCTCGCAGCCTGGCCCAAGTCCAGACTTCCATGGTGATTGCCAGATAAGTCACATGCTGTTGGTGATTTTGTTGCATTATTGAATACCAGTGAGTATCCAGAAAATTTCATTCCTGCAAAGTGATTTACTTTTACAACTCTAATGGTATGGTTATTTGCAGGTTCCTGTCAAGCCAACAAGAGTTGTTGAGGCAAGCCCGACTGTTACATACGAGACTGTGTATCCAACTGATGCACATTTCATCCCTAAACTTGAGGGATCTATTGTTTCAGAGCCGTCAACATCAGTAAGTCCTTCATATTTTAATTTTACTGAAACCTATTTCACTGCCGCCTTCACCATATGTGATTTAAAGAACATTTAGCTTCATCTGAATCAAATTATGTGCTAATATTAAACAACAAGAGACCCTAAGCCCCGAAATCATCTCAAGATAACGGCATATTGGAAGTTGTGGATTGAGGTGGCTTTCATATTCTATATATGAAACTGTACCAAGGAGAACTTTTAATTTCAGTTTTTATGTAAATATTAAATTTGTTTTTAGATCAACATATTGACTGGTTTGAGCTACATAGCTATTATTCCTTCTATTTTCTAGGTTGAATCTACAGCACCTCTAACAACAACAAAAGTAAAGACCATTGCTCCGACCAGACCTATCGAAGCCACAAGTGTCCCTACAGTTGCAGTTACAACAGAGATTGGAGTTAAGAACTTTGCTCCACGCATCAAGAAACGTATACAAAAACTTGCCTGGGTATGTTGATCTTGAATATTAAGGTCCTTAGTTTCATCACAAATAGTCAGTCAGTCTCTTCATCTTTTCATTAGCATCTCCTTTTTCTAAGGAAGCATACTCATGCAGAGTGATCCTCAGATTTTTCAGTCACCTTGGTGTTTAAACTTTTGAAGGAGCATTTGACACATTTTGGCGGGACCAAAGAGCCAAAGCTCAACCCCCCTGCAAGCACAACTTGGTGAGTACATTTGCTATATTTGTTCATAAGACTATTTGTACAGATTAGGATAAAATTACACTAAATTTACAAGGATATTTATGTAGGAATGTACAAAATCAATATGATAGCTTCTATTGTAGAACTTGCTTGATTTTCTATCTTCCATATAGATTTTGTGACTCATTTTAGAATTTTTTATGTTTCTACTAAAATGTATATTTTCAACTAAATTTTTCCCGTAGATTGCTGGCCATGTTTATCGCTTACCAATACCCAGAGATACCTTTGAGGACGTTGAGGATGGTGATACAAGCAATTTGAGGCTGTTGTTTAAGACTTCACACGGGTTGACAGTTGGGCATAATTCTTGGATCCAGTTTAATGAGGCCAAACAGGAGATTTATGCCCTGTAAGTATTGCTGTAACATGTCTTGGGTATTTTTCTACAGGAGTAATACAAAGTGCTCTTTCAGATGTACAGTATTTTTGGAGGTACTCCTGATTATTAGTAACACTCCCTGTTCATGGGGGTGGGAGGTATCAGCTAGGAAGAAATGGGAGAAGTATAGCTTAGGAAAATAAGTTTAAAAAAATGACTTTAATAAAGGTCCACGATGGAGCAAAACGTCATAACTTTCATTTTATTTTGTATGCATGAGTCGAGTTATTTATTGTTTATTAAAAGTTTAAGGTACTGAAAGAGACATTACATCCATCCATCCACCATATTATTTACACTACACAGGCTATTGCTAAATTAGAAATCACTTGTTGTTAAAGGTGATCATCAGAATAATAATGGAGCTGATATAGCCACTGCACTGCACCGTAATTTAATGTAACATGTCGCCATCGTGCAGAAAAAATTTATTTCCTCCAAATTTGTTTCATTCTAATATTGTTAAAATGCACAAATCCACAAGAGCTGTGACGAGGATTCGAACCTGCATCCGAGAGCATCCCAGACGCAGGTTCGAATCCTTGTCACGGCCCTTGTGGATTTGTTCATTTGATGCATCACGCAATTGTAATTTCTGTGTGTTGTTAAAATGCAGTTCCTAATGTCTTGTGTCCTGCTTAGAGAGGGTTATTCTTCAGACTCCTTGTTGGGCTGTTGAGCCTTGGATTATGGTGCTTCTTGCCCAGGTTCGAACCAGTGACATCATCACTCCGACCTGCTGTAAGAGGAATGGCGGGGAAGTGCCCAGGTTCGAACCAGTGACATATATCATCACTCCAACCTGCTGAAAGAGGAGTGGCGGGGAAGTGCCCAGGTTCAGACATTGTGTCTGAAGTGTCTGAACCTGGGCACTTCCCCACCACTCCTCTTTCAGTAGGTCGGAGTGATGATATATGTCACTGGTTCAACCTTCTCTGCTCTTCATGTCTGGAGTTTTTGATGCAGGTTTATTGTATTTTGTATGATGAGCAGGTGGCTGGGTTGATGGTAGCCCACTTGTGTCTTTCTGTAAGGTGGCAGTATCAAGTCTCCTTGCACTAGTTTCGCTGCTATTGGTCTTTTTGTTGTCTTTCTTCAGTTTCGGTCAGGGTTGTCCTGTCCTTTTTTTCTTGGTTGTTTCTTGAGTGTCATCTGCCCAATAACATCTTTCATCTCCTCTTCCTCTTACCTCTAATCGTTCGGCATTGACACCTCCGTGGTGCCATGCCGTAAATTTTATTGGGAATTTTTTTACCTCTGAGCCATCCTGATCTTATGACCAGATTTTGGTCTTTCTCTCCTTGCCTAAGTGTGTGGTTTGTCCTTTGGCTCGAGATGTCTTTAAAGCTGTATTTTTGTTGGCTCTGCTCTTTTGGCCCTGGTGGGCAGTTTGTTCATTTGCAGCTCTCTCCATCTTCTCTGGAAAAGAATGAATTGGCTGGCTTCTGGAGCATCAAGTGTTGTTGTGTCCGGGTGGCAATTCTTTGCCTCTATGTGCAGGACATGTAGAGGCCTGATTGATCGATTGACTGGTTTCCTTGGTGTCTTGTTCCAAGATTCACATTTCTTAGGTCATTTGCAATGTCATTTAGTCTAGCAAGTCTGCAGTCTGCGATCGGGCCCATGATACTTGCAAATACTTGACTTTGAATGCAGTCTGCTCGGACATGTCCTAGGCGGATTAATATTCAGGCTTAGGGGTTTTGGCATGCTAACAGAGTTCTGGCAGCCCAGCATTTAGTTAACATTCCTGGTCCCAGTTGGTCTTGTGTTGATTTGGGCCATGTCTCCTGACCTGATTTCTCGTCTTTCTAGTGCCTGCCACATCTCCTCCTCCCTGGTAAGTCCTGTTCTAGTTCTTTGTGGTTAATTACCTTGAGAGACACCATGGGGATCCCCTAGAAACCTAGTATTGAATGTAATGAAATGCCTTGATTTGGTAGAACCCCTGGTGGCTCTGGAGTTCCCCTCCCTCCCTTCCAAGTTTGTTGGGGAGTTGATCATCAGCTCCAAACCTGACCAGAGAGCTGACTGTAGGCAGGGGAATGGGCTATAGGTGGTGATCTTCCCTAATAAGTTTCGAGTTAGTCTGAATGAACCCCTTGAGCTGGGTGAATTGTTTGGTGGTTTTTGAGGCTTCGTGTTCTGTGAACCCTCCAGTTGTCTGTAAAGCTGTGTTGACTTTTTTATATTTTCCTAGTGGGGTAGCAAATTGTGACTTGTTCCTTGCATCTGAGTGGGGCCAGGTTCTGGCTCTGGTCCCCGGTAGGTCAAACACAACCTCCGCATGCTTCCAGCATGGAGCATTCTCAGCAAGATAGCTTCAGGGAGCCACCGGGGGTTCTACCAGGAAGAGGCATTTCACTTTATTCATTGCCGAGTTTCTCATGTGTTTTTTGTGAAAATATTGTTTTTTACTTTTTTTCAGACCCCTTGAGAAAAATATTGGACGTTACACCTATCTCTTGGAAGCCTTAGACTCTGAGGGGAAAACTATAACTGATTCAGTCATGATTCATGTGCAGCAGGCTCGAGAAGCTCGTAATTACAATCACCGATTCACAGCCACTTTCAAAATGGAAAAGAAATACGAGTTTGAGTTCGAGTACACACTTGACTGGCAGGTAAGATACGATACTCCAGTATTTTTTGCTTTTACTTGATCTCGATGTGTAGGGGTTATGGGCTACTCATACCTGTGCCACCTCTTGGGGTACTTAATCTTCATCAATCAGTCAATCTCAATTTCTGCAGGAAGTGAGATTTTGCTATTTGAGTCGAGTCTTTCAGCTATTCACACCTATTGCTTTTAAATCTTATGACATTTTAGAGCTTACTAATGTTTTCTCTTGAAACTGTATGATGGAGGCTTTGACAGCCACTTCATTGCATTCCATATTTTGACCACCAACATGAGATTATTTTCATAAATGTGATTATCTGGATCAGTTGGTTATCTTATCTTGAGGTTATCTTGAGATGATTTCAGGGCTTAGCGCGGTGCAGCCCGGTCCTTGACCAGGCCTCCTTTTTTGTTACACACCCCCAGGAAGCAGCCCATAGCAGCTGTCTAACTCCCAGATACATATTTACTGCTAGGTAACAGAGGCATCAGGGTGAAAGAAACTCTGCCTATTTGTTTCCACCTTCACCGGGGATCGAACCCAGAACCTCAGGACTGCAAATCCGAAGCGCTCTCCACTCGGCTGTCAGGTCCTGGTACCTCTGGGGTCAGCGTAACTGAAATTCTAAATAATTGATATTGGGGCAGTGTAAGGCTGGCTGTGAGGGAGCTTCAGACATCTCTTCAGTTCCAACACTGCCAAACTTGTTCTTTTTATCGATTTTTGCCTTTCTTAACAATATATGTTTTTCTCTTTCACTTTTGTGAAAGAGAAAAACGCTTCTCTTTCACAGGAGCCGGTCGGCCGAGCGGACAGCACGCTGGACTTGTGATCCTGTGGTCCTGGGTTCGATCCCAGGCGCCGGCGAGAAACAATGGGCAGAGTTTCTTTCACCCTATGCCCCTGTTACCTAGCAGTAAAATAGGTATCTGGGTGTTAGTCAGCTGTCACGGGCTGCTTCCTGGGGGTGGAGGCCTGGTCGAGGACTGGGCCGCGGGGACACTAAAAATCCCCGTAATCATCTCAAGATAACCTCAAGTTAGATTGTGGATAGGTTTATTTGGCTCAGAAAATGATAGATTACCTAGCAGATATTATTTTGAAGCAATTGAAACAGCAGGGACCATCATGCTCCCTCACTTATTAATAATGCAAATACAGTACTGTATGTTTCTGGCATTAGAAAACTGTGTATTTATGATATTTCTTACTTTATTTGTTATAAAATTGTGCAGATGGATTGTTAAAGGCATTCTGTTTCTATCAACTTTAATGTTCACCATAAGGCTTCCTATGGACACAAAACTTGTTAGGCTTATCATAGGGGGACCCCCCCCCCTCCCCCTCTCAGGCCAACTACTGATCTTTCCCGAGATGCAACCCACAATAGTTGCCCATCTCGTGAACGTTTATTTACTGCTAGATGAACAGATGCATCAGGTGAGAGGAAATGTATCCAACTGTCTCTGAATTGTCTAGTGATTGAACTTGGGATTTTTTTTCACGAGTTGAGGACATTGACCACTGCCCTACGGAAACCATTAACACTTTGCATTCTGATGATGCTAATTTCGCATCACTTATTTGAAATTCCTGAAAATCACTTCAGATGATCCCAAGATGCCCGGAATTTACAGTCAGGAATGTGCCAACGGGTCGGAATATTAAAGTGTTAAAATGACCAGAGATGTGTAAACATGCAGCAATGAGTGAGGGCTGGTGGATGCCACTTCAATCATTTTCATGACATAATCTACCTCTCTTGCAGTGAAATACTGTACAACTTTTTTCATGGTATTTATGGATGTTTGCATCAATAAACATGGTATTACTTCCTAGCTAAGGGTGGTGGACTCCCCATTCAGTGGGCATGCTCCAGTAAATGTGGGTGGAGAACTAGAATTTTGGCTTTCCTGTTAACCCAAGAAAATGTAAAAGGGGGGTTCTGAATAATGGGATTACCTTAATATGGTTCCAAGGATCAGTGTGTCAGACTAGGCCTCCTGGTTGGAGGTCTGGTCAACCAGGTTATTAGATGCAGCTGCTTGCAGTCTAATGTATGAATCACAGCCCAGTATAGCAAGTACCCTTTGGAGGTGTTTATCAAGATCCCTTTTAAACACTGGAAGAGATTGGCTAGTTATGCCCCTTAAGTTTAGAGAGAGAGTGTTGAGAAGCTTTGGGACCTTAAGAATTGTCTTTTAGCATACCTATTGCTAGCATAGGTTTTGTACCTCTAGCCACCAGTTATGCCTACCTGGCCTTTTGTTCCTCATCTGAAAAGGTTATTCATGTCCACTTTGTCTGTTATGCCCAATATTCTATAGGGTAGTATTTTCTTCTCTGATGCATTTTTTCTTTTAAAGTTATGTTGTCCACCTTGACTTGTCTTTATAACTTTCTCTTATTTCTGGAACCATCCTTGTTGCAAGTCTGAACTTAAATTTTTTGTACTTCACAAGAAGAAAATTCAAGGCCACTGCTGCACATTTTAGAACATGTCTCTATCTAATGTTTGCTCTCTATGCATATGTTGCTGTTGTTGTCGTGTCTACAGTATTCTGAAGTCTATTTATCTTGCTGATTCCTGAAACTGTCATCCTCTTGAAGTGCCCTTCAAGTCTCCTTGTTTCACTCCTCATCTTCATTGTTCTGCGAGTAAAGTTGTGTCTTTTTGCGCTCTACATAGCTATTTTATTTTAGCTGAATATCTTGATTTTTCAGTCTGTGATATTGTATTAAAAAGCTTTTCACACAGATCTTAACAAGTTTTAAAGGAATAAATCAGCGTACCTGAAGACTCGGTCAACCAATGTGTTACTAATATTTAATTATAATTTGGATTTCTCGTTATTAATAACTTGTACTTCTGTCTACAGGTGAAGGCTGTTGAGAAGATTGCACAAACCTACAACGACCCAACAACGGACAATATCAATGTGCGGTCCATTTCTCAAAATCCCATTAGGCTTACATGGACCAACACGTCATTGGCTGACCCGAGGTCTACTGGCTGCCCAACTGATGAACTGGAGTTATTGGCCGAGGTTAGTTGTTTTCAAGCATATTTTCTCATAGATCACAAATGTTGATTATTAATTGAAATATTTAAGGTGCCACCTTTCCTGAAGTATTGCAAACATTCCATTCACCTGGACTGTATAAGTCTTGAACTCTGGACCCCACACATGTGAGGCCGGAGCTCTATCGACTGGGCTATGAGTACTGTAGTCTTAAAAAGGAAGGAAAGTTTTGTTGCTAACATCCTCTCAGTATTAAAATATATAAAGAAAGATTGGGAAAATATATGATCTTGGGTCCTCCCAAAATAATTTTATTATTTCATGATCTTTAAAAAAAACTTTGATTATAGGATTATTGGATTAGTAATGTAGGCAGATTTTTTTTTTTTTTAGTCAAAAGGAATTACTGGCAAAGTAGGGAGATGGATCTTTAACTTCCTTATGAACAGAACCCAGAGTGTAATAGTCAAACAAAGTAAAATCTGGATCATCCACCATGCAAAGCTCAAGATACAAGCTCACGCAAGCTCACAGTACCCTTTCCTTCGGTACCGTGCTTGCTCTAGTACTTTTTCTCCTCCTCACAGAGTACTTTGCAAATGACATTAGGATTTTTATGAGAGTAGACAATAGAGGACACAGCAAACATCTGATGTTAAGTCTTTCAGTGGGTCACAGAAAATAATGATTAATGAGGAAAAGTTCCAGATACAGTGACACCTCGGCTTACGAATGCCCCTCTTTATGAACTATTCGGGTTATGAGCCCAATTTCTTTAGAAAATTTGAATCGGGTTACGAACTTTGCCTCGGGAAACGAGTTTGTTGATGCGCGTATGGGCCGACCTAGCGGGTGCTGGCACGGTGATTGCGCCTCAGTTTACCAGTGCCTCCCGCCTAGTGACTATCACACCTAAATTCTTTGCAAAGATTTACAGTTTTTTTTTCTGATTTTTGGCTACTTGAACATAAATTTTGTTATTATATAACTTACCATGGGTCCCAAGAAAGCCAGTTGTAAGGTTCAAACCTTAAACCTACCAGGAACTCTGATCCCTGGTAGGCCAAACAGAATTGCTGTGACCGTTGTGACCTAGTAGCTAGGAGCAATCTTAGCAAGATAGCTTCAGGGAGTCACTGTAGCTCTTTCAGAAAGAGGCACTTCATTACATTCATTGCTGTTTTTTTATGAGATGAGATTTATCTCTATTAGTATTAACTATCATCCATGTTTCATCTAGGTTGTTGTAAGTGGAGAAGACCATGAAATGACAAAGGAGATTAGGGAAGCATTCCAGCCTGAATTCCACCTCAAGCGTGTCCACCTTCACTACCTGGGACCTTGTGAACGCCATGGAGGGGCCAGTATAGGGGTTCCCAAGCCTCCTGTTCAGCCAGGTCAGTCCATTATTATTTTTTCTGGGGGGAGCCCCGTCGGCTCCCCCGGAGCTATCCAGGCTGATATGGATATGTATAACTTTCTGGCATCAGTCAATGTGCATGGAGTTCTTGCCTATCTGGGACCACGGCCAGAATCTGGTCCCCCTCAGAGAGGCACGAGGAGCAATAGCCTATAGAAAACCCCCATGTGGTAGGGACCATTCTATGTCTGCCATTGACCGAGTCTGGCACCCAGAAAGGTAGGCATTCCAAAACATACCCTTATTCTGGTGAAAATATTGCTACCTAAAGCCAAATGAGTGGACAAAACTCCCCAAACGAAAAGTAGCAAATGAGCATGAAGTCATTAGGTTGCTGTGCTGCTGTCTGCACAGCCCCCCCTTCCCGGGAGGGGAAAGGGGCTGCACAATCGACTTGAGAATGGTCCAGGACGGACCAAAACGTTGTCGTCCCTTCACCTTCTAGTGTGTGGTCTGGTCAACGTACTTTAGCCACGTTACTGTGACTCATCGCCTGCACGGGGGAAGGGGAAGCCCCAGACCCTCGTGCCGGCAATCCAACTGGCAGTTCTTGGCTGATGTGATACTGGCAGGTCAGGTGCCTCTGGCTCCAGTTTTGAGTTCAGTTGGCTCTGCCAGATGTTTGGGCCTCCGAAAATAGATCTCTTCACATTGGCATGGTCGAGGAGTCTCCCGGTATACATGGCGCCCTTTCCTGACTGCGAGGCCATCAGGGTCGGCGCCTTCAGGCAGGACTGAGCGAGGTGGGATTACCTGTCCCTCTTTTCCCCGATTCAACTGTTGCTCCAGGTCCTGGCTCACTTGGAGACTTACCAGAGAAGAGTTGTCTTTCTGGCTCCTTGGTGGCCTGCCCAGCCTTGGTTTCAGGTGCTGCTTGCACGGTGTCCGAACCAGAGGGTCTTCCCACGGCTCTGTCTCTTTCAGCAGATCGGTCCTGCTCGGTACAAGGCTGGTTTGTTCTTCTCCTCGAGTCTTCACATCTGGAGATTCTGACAAGAGTATCACTTGTATGGGGTGCAGGTGGCTTCGTTGTTGGTCTCCCACCTGCGTGCTTCGTTTCTCGGCGGCAGTATGAAGTTTCCTGGCTGTCCTTCCCGTTTTTCCTATTCACCGTAGGTGTACTTATTCCGAAGTATTCCGAAGTACACTGTGGGTGTACTTCGATCCCTGATAGGGTTGTCTTGTTCTTCCTTTCGTGGTTGTTCCAGGACTGTCATCTATGCCAAATACTGTTGCCTCGTATCGTGTGGTGCTGGCGGAGCTGCTCCAGCTTGCATTCGATATTGATGTTACTTCAACCTCGTTCCGCAAGCTGTATCATGCGTTGTTTCACCTCGGCCTGCTCGTGCGCCTCCTGAGCCGTCCTGGTCTTTAGACCGAGTGCTCTCTTTTCTCTCCTCTTCTTGGTTTGCAGTGGCCCCTTTGGTTCGGGATTGTTTTTCTAAGGCTCTTTTCCTGTTGGCATTGGACTCCGGGAGCTTCATGCTCTCCTCCGGCGCAGGGGTTTCTGCTCCTTTGGTCCTGGTTGTAGGTTTGTTCGGTTGCAGCCTTCTCCTGCTTTTCTGGCAAAGAATGAGAATGCTGCTTTCTGGGGGGGTCCTTGGGTTGTTGATGCTTGGTTGGTCAGGCTGGGGGTGCATCATGTGTTGTGTCCGGTTGTGGCTCTCCACTGTTATTTGCATGCCATGACTTCGGTGACCGGGGATGCGCTTTGGTTGACCCGGTTTCCCTCTTTTCCTGTTCTTGGGCTTGGGTCTCCAAGGTCGTCTGCAGGATTATTAAGTCAAGCCAGCCTGCGGTCTGTCCTTGTGCCCATGATGTTTTTAAGTTTGCTACTTTGTCTGCCATCTTTGGCAACATGTCTTGGGCTGACATTCGGGCACGGGGTTTTTGGAGGTCGAACAGGGTTCTGGCCACTCACTACCTTGTCAATGTCCCTGAACCTGGTAGGGCCTGCATTGCATTGGGTCGGTGGTTGCAGCCAGTTGTCTTAACTTCATGTTGAGGAGTGAGGACTGACCGCCTCCCTTGTAAGTCCCCGTTTTTCCTAGTCTTTGGGTAGTTAGTTTCAGGGAGCCGACTGGGCTTCCCCCCTAGAAAACCAGCGTTGAATGTAATGAAATACCATTTTCTGGGTGAGTCCCGGAGGCTCCCCGGCATCCCTCCCTCCGGTTGGTGGTGTTTTTCGCGTGTTTTTCGCGTGTTTTTGATATCCAGCCTAAGAACTGCCGGTTGGATTGCCGGCACAAGGGTCTGGGCTCCCCTTTCCCACTCCTGGGGAAGGAGGAGAGTTGCTCAAACAGCGCAGCAACGTGATGACGTCATGCTCGTTTGCTACTTTTTGTTTGGCGAGTTTTCTCCACTCGTTCGGCCTCGGGTAGCAATATTTTCACCAGAATAGGGGTTTGTTTTGCAGTGCCTACCTTTCTGGGTGCCAGACCCGGTCAACCGGTCAATGGCAGACACAGAATGCTCCCAACCACATGGGGGTTTCTATAGGCCATTGCTCCTCGTGCCTCTCTGTGGGGGCCAGGTTCTGGCCGTGGTCCCTGGTAGGCGAGAACTCCATGCACATTGACTGATGACAGAGAGCTATACATATCCTTATCAGCCTGGATAGCTCTGGTGAGCCTCCGGGACTCACCCAGAAAATGGTGTTTCATTACATTCAAAGCTGATTTTTATTATCGGTATGTTACCTAATAATTTGTTTCATAAATCTATAGCCCTATTCAAAACCTAGTATTTAAAACTAGTCCTTCCTGAATTTTAACATCTCTAATGTATATCCATTGGTTAGAGTTCTATTTTGTATTGATATAGAGTGCATCCTCGCTCTAACAAATTTCTGGAGAGTCCAAACAAATTGTATTCAGTATAAATGGCTCGACAGCCACTGCCTGCCTGCCTGCCACTGCCTCCCTTACTCTCTTACTAGTTTGAGAAAATGTGATAATTTCACTTGTTTGGATTCAATAATGCTCAAATGTAAATAATTTTTATACTAAATTGTTTGCAACTGATCAAAATTAAGTTAGTTTTTTTTTATATATATATACAGATACCTTGTGTTTTTCATGCCGAGTTGGTTTGAATATTCTCCAGTGCTGCCCATGGAACCATTATAACCTAACAGCAATATTTAGGTCACGGACCTGTCCTGTGGGCTCTGGAGGATCGTACCTTAGGAAATAATGACTTTTTTAGTTTAGTTTATTATGCACCCCGTGCCTATTTTGCAGTTAGTAGTGGAGAAGCTTAAAGGCACATAATTGGCTTAGGGCTGAACCCATAAATTCATTTAGGTAAGCAATTTGCAGTCTTGATAAGCTAGTTATAAAGTTTAATGTATATTGTTGTATCAACAATGGGTTCAAGACTAACAACAAGTACAGTCTCTAAGCTAAGCAAACTTACTTATGTGGTGAGCTAGTTTCATAATGGATATGTTTATCATGCACCCCTTCCTTACCACCACCACCACGATCATCTTCTTGAGGTTATCTTGAGATGATTTCTGGGCTTAGCAACCCCGTGGCCTGGTTCTCAACCAGGCCTCCTTTTTGTTACACATTCCCCATGAAGCAGCCCGTAACAGCTGTCTAACTCCCAGGTTCCTATTTACTGCTAGGTGAACAGGTGCATCAAGATGAAAGAATATGCCCATTTGTTTCTGCCTCCACCGGGGATTGAACCTGGAACCTTAGGACTTCGAATCCTGAGCACTGTCCGTTCAGCTGTCAGGCCCCTTTTTTCATCACGATAAGGCCAGGCCCCCTATTCACCATCCAATAAATAGTGATGGAAATGTTACAATCACCGACATTTACTACATACAGTAGTTTGAAAACTGGGGATATTTGTCTTAAAATTTTCTCGTAGATCATTTTGAATGAAATATTTATGCATTTCTTGAATATTTGTTATATATAGCATTGTCTCTAAATTCACATCGTTTTACCCTCCATCACCATGTGATGGCGGGTGTGCATAGAGCTTTGCTGAGACAGTTTACTAAATCAGGTCAGGTCTACATCAGCAGGTAATTCAAATTCCCAGAGATGCTTATAGCAGTCCAAGCCTAGGAGTAGTAACATCTAGGAGTCTTCCTGATTTTACTGGATGATCCACAGGTGTGTGGCTCTTCTTGCACAATAGTATGATGATAGATGAAATTACTATTTTGTTGAAGTTTTTGGTATATTACTGTACTCACACTCCTTATAGGCAATCCAAGGTTATCATCAACTACTTAATTGAAGGCAGATTTTTTTGGCTAATTCATCAGCTCTCTCACACATTTGGAGGGCAACATGAGATTGAATCTACATGAAATGAACCCTGTTACCATCATTAATAATTTTGAGATGCTCAGAAGGGTGTTTTTTTTACATCCAATGAAAGAATTATTATATATACGTATACCTTATCTTGAGGTTATCGTGAGATGATTTCGGGGCTTAGCATTCCCGTGGCCAATGGTGAGTACAAATAGGTGAGTACACCCTGGGAAGCAGCCCGTAACAGCTGTCCAACTCCCAGGTACCTATTTACTGCTAGGTAACAGGAGCATCAGAGTGAAAGAAACATTTTCCCCATTTATCTCTGCCTCCACTGCGGATCGAACCCGGAACCTCAGGACTACGAATCTGAAATGCTGTCCACCCAGCAGGTCAGGGGCACCTGACCTGCTGTCAGAGTTGCCTGACCTGGGTGGAGCAGGTCTAACCAGACCTGCATATATACAGGATGTCCAAAAAGTCTGGCCTCATAGGCAAAGTATAAAAGAAAACCATTAGGATATTTTGTTTAACTGATAATTCATAAATTATGTTATCAGTTACAATGCATGTTCATAATTACATCCATTAATTTCCATACATTTTTGAACACGTTCAGTGCAAGATTTTTGAACATTTCCAAGCATGGAAATTTGGCCTATAGGGCCAGACTTTTGGAACATCCTGTATATACTGAATATATATAGCGTAGTGAGACTTTTTTTTTTAATTTACTACTTTGTTCTTTTTGTTATAGAAGAGACAGAAGAGACTGTAGGAAAGGGTACGAAGTATGTCAACGAGCCACCAATCATACGCAACCAAATAGACTTCCTTAATGCCACCCAGGGATCCCTGTTCCGCTTCCAGGTTCCAATTGTATGTAACTCTAATCTTTTTTTATTTTGGTGTATTTGCCCCTTTGGTTCTATATTATTTAATTTCTATAATACTATACAAGTTGTTTATATGAATAATTTAACTTTAAGAGCATTTTGCTGTAATTTCTCCTTTGTTTATAATTTTATAAGAAAAATGCATTAATACAGTAATTAATTTTTCGTTTCTGTGACATCATGGGGTAAATCCCCTTTTCTCAGACTTCCATATGGCCAAACTGAGTAATTTTTAAATTTTGTCACTACAAAAGTACACACGTACTCTTTAGTACACATACTAAAGAGTAAAGATAATTGAAGTAACAATTAATAATAAAAATGTTTTCTTGCTTTTGTTGCTATATGTTTTACAGCAATTATTTGAAGATTTACTTTTGAGAGTATTTATTGTAAAACATACATCTTCCAGGATACATGCTATGATCTTGAAGATGGAGACTCGCGTCGTTTGACAATGCGCTTACTGACATCGAATCTGTCTCCACCTCCCCTTGACTCCTGGCTTCAGTTTGACGCTGCCAACCAAGAATTTTTTGGTATTCCTTTAGCTGGTGACACTGGCAAAACAGAGTACATTCTGGTAAGGTTTGGCACTGTAGCACTTTTCTTGTGGATACATGATGCCTTGTTGGAATATTGCTGCCATTTATATGTAATTTTTGGTCAATAACATTAGGGATTTTGATGATTACTCACATTGACAGTGTTATTGTGGATGTCAAGTTCTTTATTACCTGTGGTTTGCCCATATCTCAACTTTGGTGATTTATGTGAATTTGAGACCTGACAAAAAGCTCCTCACCAATACTACAAGAGGTATTTACAGCAAAAATTAAGGAATGAGTATTGTGGCCTATTAATTTTCCTATACCTTGGTCATTACATATTGTTCAACATTTTGGAAATATTACAAAGGAATATTTCAGCCATGAAAAATTTTGGTTAGGTGGGTGTTGTGAATCATTAGGTAGGTATTAGGATTGGTTACAGTCATTAGGTAGGCATTAGGATTGGTTACAATCATTAGGTAGGCAGTTTGGTAGATTGATTGATTAAGATTAAGCCGCCCAAGAGATGGCACAGGCATGAATAGCCCGTATGTTTGGTAGATATTGTGGTTGATTATGAATCATTGGGAAGCTTCTATGACTGGGTTATTACTCGTGGTAGATACAAATAGAAAATATAAGGATTTTTTAGGTAGTTGTGGTAGTTAATTTAATTGGCAGATTATTTAAAAGTTCTGGGTAATTTCAAAAGTGTTGATGACATCTTGGAATTCAAAATGAATGATGGTCCAACCTTTTCTTTCTCATATTTAATTAACTTTTTGGTATTTCTTTATCTTTGGTTGTGCCATTTTGATATTCATAAATGTCACAAATACTAGACGTGTGGAAATTTTTACCCAACATTCTACATATAGCTGTTCTTTGAAGGTAAAAAAACAAGTATTAACGTATGTTCAGTATATTAATAAACACATACTACAAGTGAACAGAAGATAGAGAGCATTAAGGTAGTATTTGTACTTAATAGGTGATACATTAGTACTGCATGAGCTCAGTTATCAGAAGCCCCATGAACTGATTATTTAGGTTATCCAGCCAAAATCGTGTACGGATAATTTTCTGACAAACTTTGCCGTATCTGGACAGAAAGTAGGATAACCAGAGATTAGACTACATAAATTTTCAAGAACTTAATTACATAAAAAAAAAAAGACTGATTTAAGAATATAATGTGTGTGTGTCCCCAGATATGAGCACCATATTTTTGAATATAGCAATGTTCCACATATATAACAATAAAGTCATCAAATTACAAACTATTGAATAATATTACTGGAAAAACTAGATATAAAACCATTCAAAGACATTGAGCTTATGTAAATATGTATTTGTGGCAATCCCCGCCACACTCAGCTGCCGGGTGCTTTGGTACATTTCTTTGGTACAATTTATGCTCGGGTACATTTCTCTGATCCCATTGTTTTTTTACATTGACTCGTCAATCTCTGTCTGGCCTCGTGCAAAAAACTCCATAAATTCATTAATTTTCTGGAATACAGGTATTGTGTTTATAATTCATTAATTTTCTGGAATACAGGTATTGTGTTTATTCTTCCATGTTTTATTTTACCATTACACACTTATTTCTCTGTACAAGCATTGGATGACTCCCTAACTAGTGCATGTCCAACCACTTGGGCTGGACGGTACATGCAGGTCGGCATTCAATCCCCGATCGTCCAAGTGGTTGGGCACCATTCCTTTACCCCGTCCCATCCCAAATCCTTATCCTGACCCCTTCCAAGTGCTATATAGTCGTAATGGCTTGATGCTTTCTCCTGATAGTTCCCTTCCCATCTGCCAATCCCGACAGTCACAGCTGTCAAACCAATGGAAGTTCTTTCATGAAAATAGTGTGAGAAATGTAGTTCCCTCTGGATAGTTGAAGGTGTTATGAGGTGTTCTGTATTGTACCATTGCCATTATTTTTAATCCCTTGTCTTCTGCCTTCTATTCCACTCTAATGAGAGATAATTATATCAACAGGAGTGTGTAGACGATGGTGGAGAGAAAGTCAATGATGCTCTGTTTGTCAATGTTTTACCAAGACTATCCAGGAAGCTGCCCCCAGTTGAATTTTCCATGAAGATCGACACAAACTATCAGCAGTTTATGAGTGATGCTCATCAGAAAGCTCGCTTGATTAAGCGAATAAGAGAAGTGTTTGGTGATAGTGATGCAGGGCATATCATTGTTGACAGCTTCCGTAAAGGCTCTGTGATTCTGACGTGGCACAATGGATCACTGCCAACAGATCCATGCCCTAATGAAGATATTAAAAATCTAAGGAAAATAATGGTTGATGATAATGGCCAATTATTACAGGAGTTTATTGATGCCTTCTCTCCAGAGTTCAAGGTGACAGGAGGGTCTGTAAAGCCTACAGGTATCTGCCTGGGTGAAGATACTCCGACTCACATTGAAGAAGATATTCACCACCCTCCAGTTGAAGAGGGTATTCAAGGAGAGGAAAATGACTATCTTCTTAACTTCATCATCCCAGCTGTTATCATTGCTGCTATGTTACTTCTTGCCGCTATTATTGCGTGTTGCCTGTATCGTCGACGGCGCTATGGGAAAATGACAATGGCAGATGATCGTACTTTTGTCAGCAAAGGTATACCAATCATTTTTGCAGAAGAGCTGGATGACCGACCTGATCCAGCCAAGAGTCCAGTTATAATGAAGGATGAGAAACCACCACTGCCTCCTCCAGAATACCAGCGAGGGACATCTCCAGCTGCCTCTTCAACCCCTCCCACCTCTGATCGTCGCCGTCCACAGTCTGGTGATGTAGGAGACGACACACCTTCCTACCAGCCTCCCCCACCTTTCACTGCCACAAATGGGGCCTCACGCCACCCCCGCCCCAACATGCCGCCCACGTACAGGAAGCCACCAACATATGTGCCTCCCTAAAACTAGTCTTAGTTATGTCAAATTATCCCTGGTGGGTGTGAGAAGTACGTAAAGTAAATGAATTGGTTTTAATAATGGTGCCTATATAGTGGCTCACTGGTTCAGTTAGTGAGATGTGTTTCTTCAGAGGAACAGGTGAGGGGAGATGTAGGGAAACATCTTAGTACTGAGTATCTAGTAAATATAATAAATGTTTTCAAATTTTATTAAGCCTCTGAAGGGAAAACGTATTAAAGTAACATGATTTATAGATACAGTACTAAAATTATAAAATGAAAATTAATTATAGAACAAAACTTCCCTATAATTCCTTCTCTTCGAACTGTTCCTATAATACTGTATAATAAATTTGAAGTTGGAATAATTTTGATAAAACCAGTAGTTTAAAAATATATTTAAAATTAGTACTTTTAAATATTAATTTGATGTTTGCTATTTCAAAGTTCAACAAAACCTTTAGTCTCAAATGTGGGAGGTTACATTTTACTTGGACAAATGTTTTTTTGTGTATGGGAACTGTCTTGGACAGGAAGTTTGTGTCACATGGTATGATCACCCAGAGTTGTACCGGATATGGTTGCATCACATGGTATCATCATCTGGCATTGTCACATGGTATTGCCTGGAGCTGTATGTCAGAAGGAATCCTGGCCTTGTGTATCACATAGTATCTGTTTCTGATATTGTGTTGTACTGGTACTTGTTTGAGATATTAATACAGTGCGTGATGTGTCAGATTGTTGTGCACCAGATCATTCTTACATATGTCAGATGAGCTTTACTTTTGTGTCGAGTAATTCTTATTAGCGAGGTTGTATCATATGGCTGTTGCACATGTCAGATGATTCTTACCTGTGGTGTTGCATGTCAAGAGTATTTTTACCTATTATGTTGTCATTATACATACATTTGGAGTTTTATATCAAATGGTATTTAGATGTGGTGTCCTGCATCAGAATATATGTACTCCAGGTGTTTTCTCTCAAAGCCAAATATTTTTAATGGAACTACTACCATCATCAGATTTAAAACAAACCTCATTATTTTGACTGCTATATGTCCCTTTTATTTGTATTTAATTTTTATTTTGTACGAATTTGAGGTGGTGAGTCAAATGTTAATTTTCTTGATCTCTCAAGGCAATGGCCATATTGATTGCCTGTCTTGCTTATAAATAGTATTTATGTATGACTGCCAGGCGCCAATACCTTGATTACCCAGGGCCAAATTAAACATATATCATATATTTTTGTAAAATCAGTGCTGTGTATAGCACCGATACTACAAAATAAAACATGCGTGAAAATACAGAAGTTTAACAGTTAATCACTGATGCATCATTGGACTATGGCTAATTGGCTTGTTGACAACCTCAGCGTGTATCTGTTCAGCTCTTCAGATACTGTAACCAAAACTAATGTTTGTAACTTTTGTAATACCGTTTTCACTAATGAATAACTGTATGATGTTGCTTCATATTAGGTACGCTGTATACTTAGGTTATGTGTTAACACATGTACATAACTACACACAATTTTTGTTGGACGAGTGAACTGGTGGGAGAAAATTGTGACGATCTTCTATCTTTTCTATCACCAGCCACACCTACTTTTGTGAGAGCTTACCCATAACTTCCGAGACATTGATTTTTCTTTGCGAGAAACTAGAATCGTGTTGAAACATTCATAGCTTTACTTGGTTATAGGAAATGTATGATCTTTTTTTTTTGTTCATATCAGCCAGCCATAGCACTACTAGCTTCTTCGTGAGATCTCGTCTCTCGCCAAATGTCCTATTGTTTACCAGTGCCCATCTAACTGCCAGAAATAGGCTTGTAGGTATGAATGACTTGTTGAACTTGTCAGTGCATTAGTTGAATGCAATATGATACTGGTTACATGTACTGCTTTAATGATATACTAGACTGATGATAAGTGAATGGTTAACATTTTCCTAATGCTGAATATGATGAAAACCTCCTTGTACATTTTTAGGTAATTTACAACATAGTGAGTTTTATATTTCTTACTGTGTTTAATTAGAAGTTCTTGACTGCTTTATATCCAAGATGTGTATGTTTATAGGCAAGGTCATTTGAGACCTTTTCTAGTAATATTAGGAAGATACTATGAGATCCTGTGTGAAATGTGGCTAGTTTCTTTTGAGAGGTCAAATGATAAATCTTTAGTTGATGCAAATTTCCTATTTTTTTTTTTTTTTATGGACAATTATGATGTTCATAAAAAGATTTGACTAACCCAGGTCACCTAGTTGAAATAAAAGCAAGTGATATTCATCCTTATACTAGATACCTCATTCTAGAGGAAGATGCATTTGGTGGTATCTCAGGGTTTCTGGCATAAGGCCAATATTGATCTTTTATTTCTGGTTCTGGTGCAGCTCACTGTCCACCTTGAGGTGGGAGCAGCTCCGAATAGCTCTCGGTGAACTCCTTTAATTGCACCTCTATTTATACATTTTTACTAACAAATATAATTATATTAATTATAAATTCTGTGTAAAGAGAGAAAAAGCTAAAATGTAGGAATTAATTTGCATATTTTACATCCCTTGTAAAGGTTACATTTAATGCTTTTTTATGATGTTAGTATTCCACGTAGTTTTCTATGCTTATTCGTGTGTTTGTGTACGTTGTCAGTGACCCTGTGTTTGCACTTTATACAAAACAGTTAAATTCCTGCCAAATGGAAGCAAAATTTTTTGTCCAGTTTTATTATTTACGTATAAACTTGGAACAAAAACTATTTTACTATTTATACCATATATGTATGTTAGGTTTGATATTAAAGTTTTCTTTTGGGTTTTATGTTGGTTATGCATTAAACATTCTTTTAGTTAGAACAGATGAATGGTAAATGTTAGGATGGGTGATATACCCAGCCAGACAGGTGAGAACCATGGGTGCTGGCCTCGCGGCACATCACTTTAACGAATGGCCAAAGTACGACTGTCCTGTATAATTAAGTTATTTAGAGCAGCAGAAATATTTAAGTCATTATGCAGGTTTATGTTTTTCTTTGCCTTGTAATTTGTAGTAAATTAATTTAATGTCACCAGCAGGGTAAAACCAGTCATAACATGCCAGGTGACAAATATCAAATCTTGCACAAACTGTTACAATTGTGTGACTGGAAGTGAAATAAATGGAGATTTTTAAATGGTTGTTTATTTCACCTCCACAAGATAAGTTTAGTGTTATTTGTTAGCGTATTGAAGTTCAAATCAACACTGTACCTGTAATAGGTCCAGGACAATTGATAAGCAAGCAGAGTTATTACATCAATCCAGTTTTAATACAGTATAGAACTTGCAAGAAGTCCCATGGGAATCAGTCCTAAGTGACAAGACTCCCACAAAGGGAGCCAGGCCAACTGACTGACCAAGCATACAAAATCTGCTGAAAGTGTGTGCTTTTGTGAAGGGTCAGAAAGAGGGCTCAGACTACAAAAGAAAGAAATAAAGGAAATGCTTAAGCGGTAACCTGTCCTCGGGATGCCATAGTATTGGTAACATAATGTTCATAGTTCCTATGCAGCTAATGTTCGCAGTTTCCCTGTGGTAGATTTACAGTTATAAGCTCTCACCAGACCAACCCTTCCTCACGTACCATAGCATGTCCCGTAGTACCCGTCCCATTGTCATGGACAGCAGTGTAGCGAGTAAACCTTATACTCACTCCAATCTCTCATTATCTTAATGTCATAACTAATTAGCAATAATTACAGAAGCTACAATCCTTTTCCTCAATTACAGGTAACACACTTTTCATCCTGTGGGAGAGACTGAGGTGTAGTCACCAAATATAAGTAAGCTTGAAGCGAATAGCCACACACACACGGCACCGCTCCTGTGCCAGGTAAACTACGGGCTCACCATAGCCCGTGCTACTTGGAACTTGTTCCGAGTAGCTGAATCTATAACAACAACATTAAAAGCCAAGAGTACAATTCCCACAGTCAAGAATGTAGCACTCGGCGTATGCAGATCTAATCGACCCCAAGATGCTACGGCTTCGATACTGTATAGAACAGACAGCAGACTAGGACCACATCCAGCTACAACGTCCATCCCACTGTCCACACAGAGCTCCGCGACTCTGGTCACACTCAGCTCTCTGCTCTGCTCCAAGCTCCGTCTCAACGTCTACGACACTGCGGTATCCAAGACTATTAAATAAATATGAAAATCCACTAAACACTGTGTATCTAATCTACTCAACAACGTAACATAATCGTACGTTACAGCAGAATAGTCTGTTTGCTCAAATTGAATGATAATTTTAATTTTCCGTTCCGACGTCTGATGTGAGATTTACGTACCATTTCCCATCCTATTTTAATATCACGGATCAGCTCCATCCTATTGAAGGCTTGTAGTTTAGGTCTGAGAAAACGTGGTAATTCTCAGTAAATTATAACAAATATTCTATGAAATATTATGTGTATATATTTCAATTGGCGCCAAATTATAATATATATAATAGGATATACTCTATGCAAATTGAAGACCCCCTTGCTCTAAATGCCACAGTAAATACTGAGCTAGAGAAAGTCCATCTTTCGCTAACTGCCAACAAACTCACCCTTAACATTGACAAAACGTTTTATATTCTGTTTGGCAATAAATCCTCTAATCAGATAAATCTCAAAATAAACAATACCCAAATTTGTAACAAATTAGATGGCAAATTCCTTGGCGTTCTCATCGACCACAAGCTGAATTTCCAGGGACACATTCTAAATATATCAAAAAAAGTTTCAAAAACTGTTGGCATTCTTTCTAAGATCAGATATTATGTACCCCGCCCTGCCCTGGTTACTCTCTATTACTCCCTCATCTATCCATACCTCAACTATGGTATTTGTGCTTGGGGTTCTACTACCCAAAATCATTTACGTCCTCTAATTACCCAACACAAAGCTGCTATTAGGACAATATCCAACTCTGGCCCCAGACATCACTCAGTACCCTTACTCAAATCTCTGAATATGTTAGATATTAAGTCACTGCACATTCTCTCTTGTGTATTATACATATATAAAACGCTGAACTGTAATGCCAATCCTGACCTCAAAAGCTTCATTGAAGGTTGTAACAGAACCCATGAGCACCACACCAGAAATAAATACAGTTTTGATATTCCTAGAGTACGACTTAATCAAACTAGAAATGCTCTACAAATCAAGGGACCCAGAATGTGGAATGACCTTCCCAACCATGTTAAAGACTGTACCTCTCTCAACCAGTTTAAGATAAAAACTAAACACTACCTAATAAATTCCCTGTAACCTACCTCACTCCTCTATTGTCAACCCATGTGTTATTTTTTTTAATCAACACTGTTTGTCAACCTATTGTATTTGTGCTGCTTTTTCAGTCATGTTCCCCCTTTTTTTTTATCTTTATTTGTATTTGTTCTCAACACTTTTTATTCTTTATGCTCAATTAGTATTAAGTTCTAGATATTAATGTTTTTCTTGCCCGAAACGCATTGCGTAATAGTGGCTTTAGGCATTGTATGTACTAGCTCTATCTATATATCAATCCATTAATGTAACATCACTTGTATGTATGTACCTTACCTGAATAAACATATTTATTTATTTATTTATTTAAGAAAATAGATCGAACATTATGTATTATAGAACACGAATTGGGTAGGTTATACTACACTACCGCCCTCAGGATGGGTATAATACTTCTAATTCATAGTGTTGGGGGACAGGAAACCAGAGTGTATTCATACGCGGTAGACTTCTACCAAGGCTTGGGGTTTACATGGGGCTGTGGTTCACATGGGGTTATGGTTCACATGGGGTTGTGGACCTCATACACATCCTGTGGGCGATAATGGGCCCCATACCCATCCAACAGTTGGTAGTGGACCTCATTAACATCCTACAGGTGGTAGTGGGCCCCATACACGTCAGATAACTAGTTGTGGACCCTATATCCATCCTGAGGATACACTGGCATTGTTGAAGGTAGCAATGTCCCAAGTAGGAGGTCTTAAGAGGCATCAATATCAGACTTGACCTGGTGAGAAGAAATGTCGTTATTTTATCCCGTCGTTGTAGATGTTTTTAGTACCCCGAGCTGGTCTTCCTTGCCTTCCTTACCGTCTGGCTGTGGTCGTCTGAGGTGGAGGTTACAATAAAACAGTTATAAATTATAAAAATAAGTTAATTATAAATAAATTATAAATAAATAAGCTTATAAATCTCAAGGTAAACATACAACACTAACAGGCAGAACTGAAGAGGTTGGAGCTGTAGAGGGCGTGCAGGAAGGAGCTGGGAAAAGCCTGACATCCTATAAGACTCGTCTTGAGACTTGAACTCCAGGCGCTCGAGGAGTACCTTGGGAAGGGGACTGGTCAAGTCATATACTGCAATTTCGGATACCGGGCTAGAAACAACTTCGTTCACTGAGAAGTTTGTATATACAAACCATTCTGGGAGACCAGTGATCAGATGAATATTACAGACTCAAGGGTAGCCTTCTCTTCTTGTATATAAATGAAAAAATAAATTCGTTTGTTTAATTCTAATGCTTGTAGGCGAGAACCGTTGTGAACGCCAGCTAACGCACAAGTACATGAGCGCCCAAAATACTTTTACACAAAAGACATATACAGACAGGCGTGTGGCTTCTGACTTCTTTTTTATTGATTAATATTAAATATTAGGCGCTTACCTATAATAGTTATCATTTTATACATGTATAACTCTCACATAATAAATATAAAAGGAGTTTATCCAAAAACGGACAGAAGTGTTGTGTTTTGTGCGTTGTATCGTGTTTGTGGGCATTCGGGTGTGTTGTGTTTACGCTGGCGGGCGGCGTCCTTACTAACTCCGGATTATGTCTATTACATCACTAAACTTCATTTAATAACTATATGCCTGTTAAATAAAAGATTTTAATTGTTAATAGCATTATATTGTCGTTTTAATATGGAACACGTACACATATGCGAAACGTCGAAAGCTGGTGTCCGAAGTGGTAAAAATATTAGTGTGCGATGTTGTCAATGTACGGAGAGTCTTGTATCCGTTGTATGTGTGGTATAGCGTGTGGTTGTATGTGTGGTATAGCGTGTGGTTGTATGTGTGGTATAGCGTGTGGTTGTATGTGTGGTATGGCTGGTGTATGGTTGTATGTGTGGTATGGTTGGTGTGTGTGTAGTGTGTATGTGTGGTATGGCTGGTGTGTGTAGTTGTATGTGTGGTATGGTGGTGGTGTGTGGTTGTATGTGTGGTATGGTTGGTGTGTGGTTGTATGTGTGGTATGGCTGGTGTGTGGTTGTATGTGTGGTATGGCTGGTGTGTGGTTGTATGTGTGGTATGGTTGGTGTGTGGTTGTATGTGTGGTATGGCTGGTGTGTGGTTGTATGTGTGGTATGGCTGGTGTGTGGTTGTATGTATGGTATGGCTGGTGTGTGGTTGTATGTGTGGTATGGCTGGATTTTAAATTGCAATACTGTACTGTACTAGCAATATTTTGGAATTTAGGGCTTTGGCAGGTCGGCAGTGCCATGGGCTTATAACCCTATGGGTGAAAAGTGAATTCTGTTTTCTGACTTACGTTGGGGCTTGTTGAGCTTGAATGCAGTATATGTGAAATTATCATGGAGAGACACCAGTCTCCGTGGTGTAGTGGTAAGACACTCGCCTGGCGTTCCGCGAGCGCTTTGTCATGGGTTCGTATCCTGGCCGGGGAGGATTTACTGGGCGCAATTCCTTAACTGTAGCCTCTGTTTAACTCAACAGTAAAATGTGTACTTGGTTGTAACAACGATTCTTTGTGGGGATCGTATTCCAGGGACCTGCCCGAAACACTACGCGTACTAGTGACTGTACAAGAATGTAACAACTCTTGTATATTTCTCTCAAAAAAAAAAAAAAATATGGAAAAGCTGATGGAGCAAAGGATCCCAGAGTATGTACCGAGGTGGGTTTGGGCGTGTTGAATGAATGGATAATAGTAGCAAGTAAAAAAATAAATACAGTAGTAGATAATAGATAAGCAAGTGTGTGTTGGTGTGAATTTGAGGTCTTGAGATGATTTCGGGGCTTATCATCCCCGCGGCCCGGTCCTCGACCAGGCCTCCTTTTTGTTACACACCCCCAGGAAGCAGCCCGTAGCAGCTGTCTAACTCCCAGGTACCTATTTACTGCTAGGTAACAGGGGCATCAGGGTGAAAGAAACATTTTTCCCATTTGTGTCCATCTCCACCGGGGATAGAACCCGGAAGCCTGAGGACTAGGAATCGGAAGCGCTGTCCACCCAGCTGTCAGGCGCCCTGACAGGATAGGAGAATAGGACCAAGATGATAGTGGGGCAAACTTAGTGAGGAAGCAGGAAATGAGTGTGAACAGCAAATGGGTTATGGAAATAGTGGCTGGGTGGAAGCAGTTTGTAAGGATGGAGTGCATGTACAGTATTTGATTATGGTGGACAATTCATGAGATAGCACTGTATACAGGTCTTAAAAAGCAGTTGGATACTGCTTAGAGTGAGAGATGAGTGCATGTCTTTTTTTATATTTACATAGTTTGAATGTTGCAATGAATGGAATATTGTAGTGGTTTTATTTTTTTTATACCTATAACCTGCTAGAACAATACAATAGTTTTGCATTTTTTCTTCTGGGCTAATGCTGCCCCCTCCTCATAAGTCTAAAACAAGATAATTAAAAGTTTTGTTACTAACCAATTACTTTGGCTTATGAAATTTATATAATATTCATTTTTCAGAAATGGGTGTACAGTACTCCCAGAAATAGCTAAGGCTGTAGAAGAGATGGATTGGACGTAAGTTTGCTGATTCTCTTGTACATTATGTAACGCTGTACTCAATAAAGTGTTTCAAATACTGTACTGGAGTAAATATAGTTGGTAAATAATAATTGAAATGGACTAGTAGTTTTATTTGCTCTTCATTGGGTATGGTATGATATGATTATGCACTGTATATTCCCTGTAAATACTATAGAGAGATTTAAAGTAAATTGTATTGCATGGAAAACTAGTATGGTTGCAATATTAACTTTTTTTTAATGTTTTCATTTGTGAATACTTGCCCTAAACATACTTGTATTATACATACTTGTCTAAGAAATGAGCCCATGTACTGTGCAGCTGTTTAATATGATAACTTCATGGTGCACAACAAAAATTATACCCAATTTTTTTTTTAATGTTGTTAAAATTGCCTCCCTGATCATGTAAATGGAAAAACAATTACAAAATCTAATTTTTTTTTTTTTTTTTTTTTTTTGAGATATATACAAGAGTTGTTACATTCTTGTACAGCCACTAGTACGCGTAGCGTTTCGGGCAGGTCCCTGGAATACGACCCCCTGCCGCGAAGAATCGTTTTTTCATCCAAGTACTTTTTTTTAATGTTGCGTTAAACAGAGGCTACAGTTAAGGAATTGCGCCCAGTAAATCCTCCCCGGCCAGGATACGAACCCATGACATAGCGCTCGCGGAACGCCAGGCGAGTGTCTTACCACTACACCACGGAGACTGCAATTTGTCACAATGTCATCACAAGATGTTGAGCACATGTGCAGGAGTGACTTGAAGCTGATCTCTTGGGTGATTCAAGACCCGTGAGTTGCCACAGATACTTTTCTTGTGATTTTTATCGAATAGTACTATTATTTATGTTTTCATGTACACAGTAGAACATGTGTAATGTTTTAATAATGATAATAAGTGTCACTAATGTGTCCACAAAAAAGTGGTCAATATTAAATGTTAAATTTTCACTAATATTTACTGTCTCACATACTCTGAAATAATGTGAGACAATGTACTTACACCATAATACTCTCTCAGTACTTCATGAGTAAATTCATTGAAGCACTCAATACAGTAGTACACATGGTAACTTTTGCATTCTGTGCACCAGGTACATGCTGACTTTCACTAATCGTCTTTTTGCATGCTTGTAAACATGGTACTTGGGTATAAATTTTGCAAGTCTTCCTGTACCCGCTATGTAACCAAACTTGTGTAGTGTGCAGTAGTCTATGCCGCTCAATCTGTCGGTAGCAATGTGTACATCTTCTGGCACAAAACTTGGAGAAGTTTAATACTGGAGTTCCCACTTGTGCAACTTTCAAGTGGGCTCTGACTCTGTCATTTTCTTCATCAATCTGCTGCAAAATAATGTTGATTTTGTAGTTGTGATGTGTATTATGCCTCGCATGCAAGTCTTGCATTTTTCAATATTAAAAAGTATTTGACAGTCTTCCAACCACTTTTGGATTTCATTTAATCTTTTTCTTTTCTCCATTTAATTCAATTATAATTTTTATTTCCCACTTCACCATAGATCTTGGTCATGTGCAAATTTGATAATGTGCTTTGTAATACAGGTACTGTATTCTCATTTGTCATAGATGTATTTGACAAAAAGGGTTGGCCCCAATATGGAACCCTGCAGTACAGTGTACTCAAGATTTCTCCAGTTGAAATCATTTCTATTAAGGATGACCCTTAACTGTGTTTTAACCAATGTTTTATTCGTCCTAGTACAGTATTCTACTATTTATTGCATGTGCTTGTAATTTCCTCGCCAGTCTGTCATGTGGTACTTTATTCTGCTCATTACTTCGCTAATTTCTGAGCAGGAGGTTTCTGGTAGATCAACCGCATCTTCACTGAACTGAATGATTTTTGGTCTGATTCGCTTTTCGTCATAATTCAAGCCGGATTATAAGTTTTTGGATTTTAAATGTTTGCAAATTTTTAAGGGTAAATTATAGACTCTTCAGGTATATCTAGAACTAACACAAACATTTAATTACATTCATTAATTAATTAGTAATTTTAGAAATCATTAAGTATAAAAGATTGTAATCATCTAGGTGGACACAGGAAATGTTAGCCCAAAGCTTGCAAAATAGTAAACATTATCTATTGTAACATTCATTCTTAGGTTGCCAACGGATGTCCAGAATGAGGCAGTCCCACTTATTTTGGGAGGTGGGGATGTGCTCATGGCAGCTGAAACAGGCAGTGGCAAGACTGGTGCTTTCTGTCTTCCCATCCTACAAATTGTCTGGGAATCACTTAAGGATATTCAGCTTGGCAAGACTTCAAAAGTTACTAAAGAAATATGCAAGTGTCCATTGCTCTTTTGTGCCTGTTTATTGCAGTACTGTACTTGATATCTGAAAATTATTATTATAAATGCTTTTAGTATGCATAAATATAAATATGCATATACTAGTACTGTACATAAATTTTAATATAAATAGTATTAATATAAATAGTATTATTATAAATGTTGTTACTCTAATATTATACTGTTATTATTCTTTTCTTTTTTCTTTTTGCAAAATAGCTCCTCTCTGGTTGATGAGCTTCTTTGACCGTGACGCAGGAATGGCTGTGACACCTGATGGCTTGCGGTGCCAGTCACGGGATCCTAAAACATGGCAGGGTGCCCGTTGCACCAAGGGTGTCACTGGCAAGGGAAAATATTACTATGAAGCCGTTGTGTCGGATGAAGGGTTGTGTCGTGTCGGGTGGGCAACTCCTCAGGTAGGCAGTATTGCTGGCACCTTTGTTCCTCCAATTTCTTTTAGCTGCTGCTGAACATTTTATAGTTCAGTAGAAATGGTAATACTGTACTATACTGTATTCCCAGTGTGAATACCTAGTTATGACTTTTACTGGATTATATTATATATTTTTAAATGGTTTCTGTTCCATATCCAACCCATCCTGTTTAGTTTTTGTGACTGTGCACCATAGTACAAATTTTTGCTGTAAGGCATTGACATAATAAGCAATTAGATAGTAGAACTTTGTACTATTCACTTTATAGATAAAAAATTTAGCTAAAAAACAAACTTAAATATTCCTAGGCCTAGTATAGCGAGCATATATACTATATTATGCCTTGAATAGCGGATTTGTCCTAGGAAGGTTAGGTTAGGATAGTTTGTCTTTGCAGCACAAGTAGAAAATGGTGTTCGGTTTGTGAAAATTCAATAGTATTTATCATAAATACTATTAGAAAATAGAAAACATATCAATTTCTACTTTCTAATTGTGTTGTACATCGGTATATAAGAATGAAGGTAACTGCAGAAAGCCTATTGGCCCATATGTACATGTATAATCATCCTCATCCTTCCTATAAGTACTATTAAAACAGGTGAATGGGCTGAATATCTTATTAATGCCATTACCTATCAACTTGATATTACACAAGTTACTATGGTGTAAAGAGTTTAAATTTAAATGGGGCAGTGTAGTTCTCTAGCGACTTCTTGGATCAAATCTTGTGCATATTTTCCCAAAAACATAACCTAAGGGCCAGTTTTCTGCATTAATCTTTCAAAATGGTATTCATAGAATTGCTTCAGAACTGGTACTATGGTAGGTATGATTTTGTAGTGAAGTTTTCACAAGTAGTCATATCATAATCAACCTTATTTACTTATATACAACTCCTTTTGTTCTAGAGATTGCATTTTTTCATGTGTATTTTCATCTTCATGTAATAATAATAATAACAATAATAATACAGTAAGCCCTTGCTTTACATAAGCAAATTTCATGAAAACAAGTTTAAGATTGTAAACTGTTATAATAGCTGCAAGCCTCTCCATACAAAACTTCCAGGCAGCATTTGCCCCAAACTCTCCATATTAACCAACAAATTCAATCCTTGAAATCAACACAACTGCCAGGAAAGTCGGCACCATATTTGAATGCATCGACTAGCACATCCATTGATGATGATGTACAAATATTTGATGAAGTCAGACGAATCGAGGCATAGTTGAGGGAAATGCAGCTGCACTCTGCATATCAGAAAATGACTTGTAATTACGAAGCAATAAGATGCTTATCTTAACATACTAAGAAGGTTAGGTAAGGTTGGTGTTTTCTATGAAGCTTTTCAAGGTAAACTAAAATATTCACAATAAATTAGTATGTCACATATGCACGTATTTAATAAGTCAATATTGACTTAAGGAAGTGCGAGAACGGGTTGGAAAATGACTTGATTTTGGTCTATTGAATATCATTTATTAAACATGGTTACACGCCAAAGAGAACACTGGTAAAGTTAAACCCAACTGTTTGACACCTCCATCCTGGAAACAGCCATTGTTTCCAAAATGGTAATGAAAGTGAGTAAATATTTTATTTATATTTTTTTGAAGGGGGGGTGGAAGGAACAGGCATTGAAGTCCATTTGGAAAAGATAATTATGCAAGAATTTAATGCAGAAAGTTGGTAAAACAAATTAAAACGTTAATTTGTGCTGAGTAAACCATTACTTGCGTATTTGTAATAAAGTACCTACCTCATGTTAGGCGAATTTAATGCTTTCAAAACTTCAAGAAGCAAAGGCTTGCTGTAGTTTGTACTGTATTTTCACCTGCATTGGGAGATGTTATATTTTATCAATTGCCTTTATGCAATAATATTTTTTATATTCACAACCAAAACAACTTATATTTTCAGGCAGCATTAGATCTTGGAACATGTAAATCGGGATTTGGATTTGGAGGCACTGGAAAAAAGTCTAATTGCAAGCAGTTTGACGATTATGGTGAATCTTTTGGCCTCAGGGATGTCATTGGTTGCTATCTCAACCTGGATGCCATGGAGATGCATTACAGCAAAAATGGCACTGATTTAGGTAAAGCTTTCACATTACGAAGTGAATTCAAGAATGCTGTCTTCCATCCAGCTGTAGTTTTGAAGGTTGGTAGTATAGTACATGCATTATTCATGTTAGTTGTGTATTTTAAGCAGTGGTGGATAATTGGATGATGATATTAATTAATTATAGATATGGTTTAAGGCAGACTGAAATTTGCCCAGTTTTTTCTTTTTGTTGGTTTGTTATGCATTTGTCACAGTATTTGGACTTGGTGTATTTCAAAAGTGTATAGTGGTCATGTATATATACAGTGACACCTCCAAAATTTGGATCATATTTATGATCTAGGTCATTAAGAAAATTAATACAAATAAGTAAATTTCTTATTGAATTTTCTATCAGTTTTTAACTGTTGGTTCTTTACTCAAATCTCTCTAATTTCAATAAAGTGCAAGAATAACTTCAGTGAATTTAATGATATTTGAAAGTTACAGATGATAGCAATTTATGTGATTTCCAGAATGCAGAGATGTCTTTCAATTTTGGTGCAACAGAGTTCAAGCACCCACCTAAAGCGGGATACGTAGCAGTGTCTCAGGCCAGCAAGGACTGTACTGTGAGCTCAGGTGTGAAGGGAGGTGGAGACAAGCCACAAAAGCTTCAGAACAATGCTCCACACGCTGTCATTATTGAGGTAAGAATGGTAACACGTGACTGGTCTGTATTTACTTGTCCAGTATCTGGTTTATATTGATTGCTGGATGGATGTCTAACAATATAACCTATACAGTTCGGTACAGATTCATTTTTACATCACTGTTGCTTTTAAACTAACCTGTTCATTAAATCCTGGATACATACAATATGAAGATTCAAACTAAAAGTAGTATGTTGTGCTATGTGAATTGTTAAACAGTTTAGATAGAAGTGGCAAGTTCCAAAAGCAGACCATTTTTTTTTTAATGCAAACAAAAGTTTTTATCATTTAACAGCCTTCAAGAGAACTCGCAGAACAGACCCTAAAACAGGTTCAAATGTTTCGTAAGCATCTAGATAATCCAGTGGTTCGTGACCTTCTTGTTGTTGGTGGTATACCCGTGAAGGAGCAAATAGCAGCACTCAATGCAGGTGTGGATATTGTTTGCGGTACTCCAGGACGCTTGGAAGATCTTATTAATACAGGACAACTCTCTCTCCAGTCTTGCAAATTCTTTGTGTTGGATGAGGCTGATGGACTTCTTAAACAGGTAAGTTTGATTTTATCCAAGGAAAAGTACTTTTTATATTTTGGTAGTAAATATGTAGGAATACCTGATATAAATTCAAGTACTGTATCATCAGCTTGCCTTATGAATTAGAAAAAAAACTAAGAACTCTTGACTACCCGATTTCTTGTATTAAGTCAACTACTCGTGGAACATTTACACATTTCCTTAATGTGCGTCTTTGGCTATCAGTAAATGGGCACTTGAGAGTTGGGCAACTTTTATAGATTTCATCCTGGAAAGGTTGGTCATATTTTTTAAATGACTTTAAATATACAGCTGATTTATTTATAAGGTAACTTGATGCATTACTGTATTTTGTTGACTTTCATTTATTGCATTAAATTTCTTGCCATATTTTGTTTCATGTAATTACTTTATCTTGTATACAAGTGTACTGGTATTGCAGGGGCATGAGCGTCTCATCAATAACATCTACAACTCCATACCCAAAATCACATCTGAAGGCAAGAGACTCCAGATGGTGGTCTGTTCTGCCACCCTACATTCCTTTGAAGTGAAGCGCATGGCAGTAAGTTTCTGAACCCTTATTTGGTAACACTTGTTTGCTAAGGAAAATTGTGCCTTCTCAACGGTGCAATGTCTTAAGACTAAGGATTATGAATTATCTTAGATTATGGTATACTATATAATAATCAAGTGAAAATTAACAAAGTGAATAGCATGACTAGTGTGTTCCAAGCATATATGGAGTGGAAAGAATGTTGTCTAATGTATCAATTAGTTTCCATAAAGAATATTTTGTACAAGGGTGACATTTTATTAATGGTTAGGTATACATATTTTATATATATAATATGACATTGTGTCTTTAATACTTCAAAGTTACTTAATGCTCTCTTTTTCAATGTGGAAATACTGTAGATTGAATCATAAGTGCATGTTAGGAATTTGTGTATCAGACTTTATGAATGTAATTGCAGAAGTGGTGAAGGTGAGAGATTCAGTAGTTTAAAGCTTTACTATTCATGTTGGAAGGCTGCTGAAAATGTGTTACCTGAAAGAAATAGAAGAAAAGATAATATCATAGTAAATATAGTACAATATTTAGTATGTTGCTTTTACTATAGGCACGGTTTACATTCCACCAGTCAATTTCCTTCCCTCAGTTCTGTCTTTGCTCAATCTTATTTGCATGAAACTTTTTTCCAATTACACGCATCAAATATTTAAACGACAGATTCTAGTACTGTACTTCCTACATCACACACTCGTCATCCTTTCTACTACAGTTTGCTTCAGTTTACTCATTTTCAAGTCTTCTACTATCCACAGTAAAGCTTTCAGCTGCACAATATCTCAGCCCTCGCACACTGCTACAACTCCATATGTTTCACCCAAGTATGGATGATGATGTTGATGTTCAAGATTCGCTACTTGGAACAAAAAGTCCCAAGCAGCACGGGCTATGGTGAGCCTGTAGGATGATGATGACAAAACTCTGGCATGTTACATTTCATCCACCTGCTTTAAAGCTGTCATTAAGAGCTATAGAAACTTAATTTTGAGAACCTTTCACAGAGGAGCAGCATCATTACCAATTTTCCATGCAGATTTCACTTGAGGACTTTAAGGCATCAGTGCAGCTACTTCCTTCCCTCTCTTCCCTCATTTCACAACCTGTCCTCTTAAAAATGTCGCTTTTGGCCGTTTGCCCGTATGGCCGAAAGTGGACGTACAGTTATATGAAAATGAAAAAAAAAAAATGAAAATTTGGGATTTTTTTTTTTTTTTTCAACAACAGTAAGTTAAGGGTCCTCTGGTAGGTTAGGTGGGCAGGAAATTCTCATAAAGTTTCAAAACGTTATGAAAAACGTTAATTGAAAGTCTCCTCTTCTAACCTTACCGAGTAAGCCGGACGACTCAAACAGAAAACAGGACAGTACGTCACTTTTGTGAGTTAATTTCATTTCAAATTACGTCCACTTTTGGCCATAGCGCGTATACGAGCGAAAAGTGACGTTATTTTTAAGAGGACGGGTTGCATGTCATCCCATCATCTTCCTGTGAAGAGGAAGTTTGTGTTGTTGTATTTCTGCAGTAATTGGCATCTCACAAGGAGCTCTGTATACCTACTTAAGCACTACTGTGGATCATTGCTGCTATTGATTTACTGGTGTGTGTGGTCATTCATGTTCTGTGATTGTGTTTTGTGAAAAGTATGGTTAATTTATTGTGTAATATGTGTAACAAGTTTTATCTCTTCATATACGCCTCCATGTTTTCTTGGTGTTGATGCCTTCCAACCTCGTGAAAGTGGAACATAGTGGTAGTGGAGCAAGCTTGTCTGATATTAGACACTGAACTTAAGAATCCTGTGTGTGGATGGTGCAAGTGCATTGCACCTAACGATGCACTTGCAATGCACTATTTAAGTCAATTTAAATTATTTATTCCAGAAATATGTAGAAAAATGTTGAAATTCTGCTTGATTGTATTAAGGAGATGGAAAATGTATTTAAAGCAGATTACTTAAAAAATGAACAGAAGTACAGTACTTGCTATATTTTGTATTTAAATGTTATTATTAACTGATAAAATAGAATTGTCTGTAAATGGTACAGTATGAATATAATGTACTGTATTGCTAATCATTGTTATGTCAGTTCTTATAGCAGATTATTTGAAAGAATTGGTAGCTACTAGTCTGTTAAATAAGGGTGTACATGTTGAAGCCAAAACTTTTATCGTATAATATTTTTTTAATTTTGGTTTTTAATTTAGTGTCTATAAATAAGAGATGTACAAAAAATTTGTAAAAAGAAGAAAAAAATAATAATTTTACCAAGAATATTTTCTTGATATTAGAGCCTCTGAATTCCAAATAGAGTACAGATATTTCAATACCTTAAAATAATTTTGCTCCGACCAGTGAATTTTACTATAGAAAAACTTTACATAGGAACGTTTGATGCACTTCCCGACCTGGGTAGATCTTAAAGGGGAAGATGCTGTGCCCGAGACTGTCCACCACGTTGTTGTAACCATTGATCCCAGAACGGATAGTAGCTGGAGCAATCTTCGTCGCCATCTGCAGACTGATGGCGTGCATGTTAAGGATGGCGTACGACCTGGGAACAATACACCTGGTAAGCAAATAAAAGTGCAAGGCTAAGCTTTACAGTTAATATTTGAGAATGTGTCTTAGTTTTTTAAAGTACTGTAAGTGTAAGTGCTTCTAATGTTTTAATTTGTTATGCTTTTCAGTTTGGTTTCCAGAATTTTTCTTTAGCTTGTTCAGATATGTATTTAGATACCATTTGCCAATTTTAATGGTTTGTAATATGCTGCTTCACATTATGAGCTATGAATATTTTTTGAGGTTCACTTAAGCTGGCTTGTACTTAAGCATTAGTACCGATCGGCACGACCAGTTGGCCTGGCCCCTGCCTTCAACTAACTTCCCTACTCAGTTCTGTTGCTGTTGTTCTATTGGTGATTGCTACTTTAGTGCTCCGGTCCACCACTCAATTGCAGCGCTAATCTCATACCCTTCTAGCATTGAGATTACAGTATTATGTAGTACTCACTCTCCCAATAATGCAATACTTGATAATATTTTCCAGTAGTTAATAATAGCTTGAATTTAACATTATGATCATGAATATATAGGATTATGAATACTGTATAGCATTATTGAATATCGAATCATGTCCAAACAAATTCCGTGACTGGTGTGATCCACTTGCACGGAGCAATTTCGGTGAGATAGCTTCAGGAGGGCCACTGGACATCTACCGGAAAGAGGCATTTCTTTACATTCATTGCTGTTTTGTTTTTTCTCCTTTCAGAGACATTAAGTGAGGCGGTGAAGCTGCTGAAAGGAGAGTACTGCATTAAGGCTATTGACACACACAAAATGGATCAAGCACTAATATTCTGCCGCACTAAGTTGGATTGTGACAATTTAGAGCGCTATTTTAATCAAATTGGTAGGTGTCTTGAATTTGTAAATCTTTAAATAGATTAAACCCCTACACTGTGTGCCTGTTACTTATACTAGTAACAACTCCATGGTGTGAAAAAAAAAGTTCTTTAATGTTAAAATAATCACTGAAAAATAATAATTAACATTTAGTTTACTTTGGCTGTGGTCGAAAGAAGAAATATCTCGGGCACAATTTGGAGACATTGGTGGATGAGATTACCAGGCATAAAGGTTCCCTGGGTGACATGAGTTGCCAAAAATACATTTACATTATTTTAGTGTTACTGATTTTATTCACTGGTATTTTGCAGCTATATTATGCAACAGTGTTTAACTTAAGAAATTTCTATAATAAAACATGCAGAATATAAATACACATTTGTATCACTAATATACACACACAGTATTATATTCTATGAACAATAAAATGTGCTGGTTTTTGCTATTATCGCATTGCATACACATTCTATGTACAGTATATCTACATACACTAATATGATCCACTAATCAGTTCTGGTAGGTTATCTTAGAGATGATTTCGGGGCTTTTTAGTGTCCACGCGGCCCGGTCCTCGACCAGGCCTCCACCCCCAGGAAGCAGCCCGTGATAGCTGACTAACACCCAGGTACCTATTTTACTGCTAGGTAACAGGGGCATAGGGTGAAAGAAACACTGCCCATTGTTTCTCGCCGGCGCCCGGGATTGAACCCGGGACCACGGGATCACAAGTCCAGCGTGCTGTCCGCTCGGCCGATCGGCTCCCTTTCCGGGCGTGGTAATCTAGTAACCAGTGATCCAAATTCAGCTTAGCCCTGCATATTTTACATGAAGTTGTAACAGCACGCATTGAACATAATACATTTTATTCATATTTTGAATGCTTTTACCATAGTTTTTCAAGGGCAATGATGCATTGGGCTGTTAGTATTATTTTATTATTTATATACTGCAAACTACTACTGAATTATTGCTCAGAATGAATGTACGCAGAATGTACTATTGTACATCTAGTATTGGGACCCCTGTGCAAGAGAGATGGAACTTTCACAGATGACATCAATGACATGAGTGAAATTAACCTCTGGACTTTGAAGTAGCCATAGACAGTTCGTGCACTCTGTGCCAGGCCATGATTTCTGGAATTCCATATTCATCAAGAATGGTAACACATTATGACCTCTTGTGGTATTCAAAAGAACACCATAAGAGGTCATAATGATAAACACTTCCAAAGGATACCTAATCAACCAGGTTGTGATTTGTATGTCAGGCTGCAAGCAGCTGCATCTAACAGTCTGGTTGATCAGACCACCAACCAAGAGTCCTGTTCGGAGACCAAGCCCGCAAGGACTTTAATCCTGGGAACCAACACACGGTAGCCGTAAGGCAAGATACATGGGTATCTTGCACATACCCATGTATAATAAATACAAATACACATGTATTTGTTACTAATATGCACACTATTATATTCTTTGAACACTAATATGTATTATTTGTACAGTTATTACAATGTATATACACATTATGTGTGTATACCTACATTTTAATGCAATATTATGAACCACTAAGCAGTTCCAGTGGATGATATTCTTTTAATGTAGATACAACCACAGCATAGTCCCACATGCTCATTTGCTGCTGGCACATGACGAAGCAAAGTGCCACCTGATGCACTACAGCACTAGCCAAAACAGTGCTCTTATGAGAAACCTGGTCAATAAATCCTGAATATGAATAATTTTTCACATGTTCTTTTTCTAAAGGAGCATGAGGTCCCATTACTGATGCATAGGTGCACTAACCTGTGGCTGTGTCTCTTACTGTAAATGTCATAGCCAGCATTGGATTCACTGATATCTGAACCTTGTACAAAGTCTTTAACACTGTCAGGATCATCTATATAACACGATCATTGTTAAATTAAGTTATTTCGATGTTATTAAGTGATGCTGTAGGCACAAGCTTCATGGTGGTGTTGTGAACTACCACTGTATGCACCATTCATGGTCTCTTTCACTACTGAGCCCCTCACAGCCAGGAGTGCCCATGATTTTTCCCCAAGATGGCATCTGGTTACTTGTGGTGTGAGGAAGCAGATGCAAGCCCCTCTACCTGCTGGAGTTTAAAATCTTAGGCTATACATAAAATTGGTCCTTGTTGATGTATACTGCTGATGAAATGACCTTGGTTGATTAGTGAGGTTAAATATTCCTCATAATACATAGTCTCATGAAATATAGTATAATTAAAATTGAGCCTATGGAGCCCATAGAGTGGTATGAGATTAGTGCTTCATTTAATTAAAATACTGTAGTTGATTTATAGGAACATTTGTCATCCTTTATCATTGTGCTAAACTAAACCCTGACTGCCCCAAAACTTTTAACAGGAGGAGGGGCCAATAACAGAGGCAATCCATATTCGTGTGTGTGTCTCCATGGTGACCGCAAGCCTAATGAACGCAAAGCGAATCTCCAAAAATTTAAGGATGGTGGAGTGAAGTTCCTTATATGCACTGATGTAGCTGCTCGAGGAATTGGTAAGTTCTTTTCGTTGCATGCATTGGTTTTCTCTTGGGGAAATTCTCTATATTTTAAAAGATGCCTGAGGATATGAGGATATTGTTAAAACATCCAAATGTTTGCTGCAGATGTTGGAGGACTGCCATTTATAGTCAATGTGACACTGCCAGATGAGAAGAGCAACTATGTTCATCGTATTGGGCGTGTGGGTAGAGCAGAGAGAATGGGTCTAGCTATCTCCCTTGTTGCTGCTGTGCCAGAGAAGGTTAGAGTTTTAAACCAATATTTGCATTCTTTATTAACTGGTAATAGCCCCTGACTTGACATTATTTTACATTGGCTTTCGCTGTCCTTATTTTCACTATTGTAAAGATGAATTCCTTAAACCTAAGTAACCTGTGTAAAGTCTCACATGTAGACTTTTGTTGTAGCTTGGTTAATATTTAAAGAGGAAAGAATGATAATGTAATTTATGGTATGTTGCAGCTTTTTGCAACATTGAATACTTTTCCATTGGATACTCTCTTATGTGCACACTCCAAAAAACTCCTTCATATGTGACAGTTGTATGAAAGGAACAGGAAAATCTGAAGTCTCCTTACAATAGTGTCAGTCTAGAAATGACCTAAGTTTAATTGCAGGATGAGAGCTATGCTCATGGTGTCCAGTCATCCTAGTACTTTGAAGCTCTGAAACTACTGATGGTTTTGGCATCCACCACCACCTAACATGTTCCAACCATCTACCACAGTTTGCAAAAGAGAACTTCTAATATTTTTTCCATCACCTTTGTTTTCTTAGCTTAAGTCTGTGAGCTCGTGTTCTTGAAGTTGTATGGCAGGTTTCAAGAATTCCTCTGTCAATTTTATTGATTCCTGTTACAATTTTGTAGGTAGTGACCATATCACCTCTTTTCTGTCTTCTAGCTTTGGTATATTTAACCTATACCCTGATGTAAATCAATGGGCCACAGAAAATATGGTATTTAATGAAGATAAGTTCCAACTTTTTCGCTATGGAAAATAAAAAATATCAAAACGGAAACCATGTACAAAATGCAGTCAAATCATACCATAGAACATAAAAGGAATATAAAGAATTGGGGAGTAATCATGTCAGAAGATCTTACTTATAAAGAACACAATAAAGTAGCAGTCACAATTGCAAGAAAAATGACAGAACCTTTCAAACAAGAGATGCTGTACCAATGATGATACTTTTCTAGGTGCTAGTGCTTTCTAGAGTGGAATACTGTTGCACAATAACAGCCCCGTTTAAAGCTGGAAAATTGCTGACCTGGAGAGCATGCAGAGATCCTTCACTGCCAGAATTCTCTCGATAAACCATCTAAATTACAGAGACTGACTAAAAATGCCTAAATCTGTATTCTCTAGGGCACAGGCAGAAAAGATACATACTAATTTATACATGGAAAATATTAGAGCTGATTCCAGATCTGCACACAGAAATATCACACGAGACCAGAAGGCATGGCTGGATGTGCAGAATACCCCCATTGAAAAGCAGATGTGCAATAAGTATTCTGAGAGAGAACTCTATCAACATCAGAGGCCCGAGACTGTTCAACACTCTTCCACTACACATAAGGGGTTTAATGGGCCTACCCCTCGCAGTGTTCAAGAAAGAACTAGATAAACACCCCCAAAGGATCCCTGATCAACCAGGCTTTGATTCGTATGTCAGGCTGCGAGCAGCCGTATCCAACAGCTGGGACACGGACTGGTTGACCAGTCCAGCAACCAGGAGGCCTGGTTGGGGACCGGGCCACGGGGAACCTTGAACCCCAGTAGCCAATTAATTGGTAGCCTCTCCTAGTAGTTCTTGGTTCTCAGTTCTGGAAGCCATTTAGCTGCATGTCTTTACATTTTTTCCAGTTAATTGCTGTACTTTTCAAGATGAGCTCAATGCTACTGCATAATTCAATTTGGTCTCCCGAAGGTCGTGAACAAGTTCTTTAATATTTGTCATGCATGTATTTATAAGTGAATCTGAAATTGGAAATTGCAGAACATGCTCCTCACACAATGTTCTTTGTGATCCTGTTGTCTTATAACCATTCCCTAATCAGACTTCGGAAGAACATCCTTGAAATAACACGTTCCTTGACATTCCTGATAAGTCTTTCACGAGGTTCAGTATTAAAGGCCAAGGGATAAATTTAAAAATAGAGTATCAATTTTGTATATTCTTCTCTTGTTTCAGGTGTGGTACCATGGAGAGTGGTGTTCAACTCGTGGGCGTAACTGTTTTAACACGCGGTTGACAACGGAAGGTGGTTGTTGCGTTTGGTACAACGAACCACAGGTTAGTCCTCAAGAGATTTTTTTGTCGTATTTATCTTTCACATTTGATATATATAGAACATCATTGCCTACTTAAAGATTTGAAAGGCTCTAGTCTAAAACTGATACAGTATTAAAAAAAATATTAGAGCCTAAAAGTGATAAATTCTGATTAGGAAGTAAAGTACTTGTATGTCTCTGGCGCTTCCCCTTAGTGATGCAAGTGCACCAGGTGATTAACAGCTTTTGTAATTTGAATGTGTTTTTTCCTCCTATTTTGAATCTCTTCTTTTTTTTCTTCTTTTTTCCTCACTTTAACTCCCAGTGTATGTGTCCCCCTATTCCTAAAATATGTATTAACAGTAAATAACTTCTTCATGGCACAAATTCTTCAATCTACATACTTCTGCAGCACCAATAATGCCAATTACATTATCTCAGAGGCCTCTTTACTGTATTTCAAATCACTCCTTACAGATATTCTGTAGCTTCTGGGTGTCATACTGATCTTATTCTTCAAGCTATCTGAATAAACTTTGGCTTCTCTCTCTGCAGTGTAAACGGCACCCTTTACCCTTTCAAACATAAATTTAATTACATGTGCCTAGGACGCAAAATTACTGTAGGTGTGAATCGGTAATAAAATGCCATATTTTAGATTTAGGAACCATTTATTGCTTTGAAATTGAAATAAGTTTATTGAGGTAAAATACACACAAAGGGATGAGGTAGCTCAAGCTATTCTCACCCCGTTCAGTACATCGTGTTAATACATACATACACACATCACAAGCAATAAACGTATTACCGAACATTCTGAGAGATAAACATATACATTTCCTCCTCTACACAAGTAATTTATTGCTTTAGAAAAGCCAGAATAAAGAATTAATGATTGGAAGAAATTGGCAAGATTAGGCAGTGTTTGTTCATATGAGTATAGTAGGGTAGTGACAGATGTATACAATGGAAAAATACCAGTATAATATTACCTTTCAAGAGCCTCGGTCCATCACTACATTGAGAATCACATTTTACACTGAAGTGCATTCAAAATATTTTGTTTATAATGTGAATTAAATGTTAGGCTGTGACTGACACCCTTGTTATTTCACTAGTGATCTTTTTCTTATCTGAACCACTAGTACCTAGCTGATATTGAAGAGCACTTGGGAGTGACCATCCAGCAGGTCGATCAAGAAATGAAAGTTCCAGTTGATGAATTTGATGGCAAAGTGATTTATGGTGAAAAGAGAGCCAATGTTGGTAAGTTTTCTTAATAGTGTTTAAAATTTATGTGCAGTACACTATTTGTTCTTATTCTGTATGGAGAATGTTGTCACGACACACTATACTCCCAGTTGTTCCATGTTCTTTTCTGCATGCACTTTTGTAGCTCTTGCTGCTCGTTTTTCACACTGATGTGCTTACTGTCACAGTGCTCAACCATTCCTGTCATTGGTGTTTGTTATTACAAGCATGCTTTTAATTACTGTGGCTACAGAAGTGGCACAATTTTGTGCCAAAGTTTAAAGTGCTCAAGTTATTAATGCTTGAAAATGCCTTCTTGTGATAAGGTTCTACATGATGCTGCTCCCTAGGTGTTAGTTCTTTAGTAGAACAAGGGATGAAATTAGCAAATAAATGATTATGCATTTCTATCTTTATTGGAACTAGAAGGTTTATTCAAGGGTAAACATCACTAAAGCAGTACAGCTACATGCTATTTATTTGGAAGGAAAATATGTACCTATATTTAAGTATTATTGCTACACATATTAACTGTAAAACAGAACCAGGCCTTTTTTATAAATTTATTAAGAGCAAGCTGCATTTAAAAGATTAAATCCAGAGATTGAAAATAGGGAACAAATACAGAGGGAATGAAAAAAAAAGTATGAAACATTAAATGAACAGTTCCAATATGTGTGTACTCGCCTAGTTGTGCTTGTGGGGGGTTGAGCTCTGGCTCTTTGGTCCCGCCTCTTAACTGTCAGTCAACTGGTGTACAGATTCCTGAGCCTACTGGGCTCTATCATATCTACATTTGAACCTGTGTATGGAGTCTGCCTCCACCACATCACTGCCTAATGCATTACATCTGTTAACTACTGACGCATGGTGATCGCACCTCAGTTTACCAGTGTCTCCTGCCTAGTAACTATCGCGCCTGAATTCTTTATAAAGCATTACATTTGTTTTGGGATTTTTGGCTATTTGAACATAAAATTTGTTATTATATATCTTGCCATGAGTCCCAAGAAAGCCAGTGGTAAGGTTCAAGCCAAGAAAACACATGTGAGAATGACCATAGAGGAAAAACAAGAGAGCATTCATAAACGTCAAAACGGTGCACAGGTTGTTGAACTAGCTAGGCAGTACAACAAATCTATGTCAACAATATGCACTGTACTTGCTAAGAAAAAGGACATTATGAGCGTTAAAGTGGCAAAAGGCATATCAACAATCCCGAAACAAAGAACACAAACACTTGAGGATGTTGAAAAGTTTTTATTAATTTGGATACACAACAAAGAGTTAGCAGGTGATAGCATTTCAGAGGCCATCATTTGTGAGAAACCAAGGCATTTGCATGAAGACCTTTTAAAGAAAACCCCTGGAACGAGGGGGAAAAAGATGAATCAAGTTTGAAAATGTGAAAAGTTTGTGTGACAATAGAGCCTCGTGGAAAACTTTTGCTGTGGTCATTACCTGGTGGAATGCACCCAGGATGGAGTATCAGGGCTATACATCTTTTAAATCATAAAAGTAATAAACATTTCCCATCAACCTTACAAACCATATTAACCTATTTTCATGTATTTCCCCCATGTGCATTTTAACAAAGTTACTAAATTGCCTTTATCATTCTGTAAAATTTCAATTACAGTATACTGTATATAATTTTGTTAGTATAAATGGACTGAATATTCTGAAATCACTATTAATTTTACAATTTCAGATTCAAAGGTGGTCTGGACACCCAATTTGGTCAGACAGGTGAAGAGAGCATTTAGGATAGTTCGAAGAGATGAAGATGGTCACAATTGTGTTTGAAGAGGCAAACGCCCCCCTTTGCTCCTGACATTATGTTCAGCCTATTGACCCCTGCACACCTAACACAAGGTAGGTTGAAAACTCCTCCTTCATGTCATTGGTTCATTAGCCAGAAACTTAGGGCCCATGCAGGAATATCCCTAAAAAAAAAAAAGTGGCCCCAACAATGCATCCTCCAAGTCTGGAGGATGAGCAGGAGCATTGTCGAGAAGCAGGCCCTTTAGTGTCAAACTTTTCTCTTGCAGATATTTTTTGATGGCAGGGCAAACCACTCTACATCACAGTTTTTCTGCACGTTATATATTTTTTAAAACTCTTGGATTTTCGGAATGATACACGAGCAAGGGTTTAATTTTCAAATCGCCACACAGCACAAGAGTTAGCCTATCCTGACACAAGTTAGCCCAAGTTAGCTTGTGTCCGGGCAGTGACGTCTCCTCTTGGGTAATGTATGTCCTCTTCGGCAATTTTTTCCAGAATAGCCATGTCTCCTCACAATTAAACACTTGTTGTGGAATATATCCATCAATACAGTATCTACAAAATCTTTAAAATCACGAACAAATCTTTCAGCCCCTACTTTGTCTGAGCTGGCACCCTCACCATGCCTCACAACACTATGAATACCACGTCTTTTTTCAAAATTTCTCAAACCATCCCCTACTCACCTTAAACTCTTTCGTATCTGCAAAACTCGTTCTAGGGGTTTTCTTTATAAGATCTTGCATGAAGATTTCATTGTTGACCAAACCACACACTGGAAATTGAATAGACGACGACATTTCGATCCGTCCTGGACCATTATAAAGTCGATTGTGATGAGATGAGGGAAGCAAGAGCATTAAGTAGGCAAGAGAGAGAGGTGAGGAGATGGCAAGTATGTACGTATGTACATGAATAAAACATGTACATACTTATACATAACGTGTGTAAATAGTGTAATAAACACAATAACAGTATTTTGGGAGGAGGAATGTTGGCGAGTAATGTGTTGGAGGAGGGAGGGAGGACTGGCAGGGTGTGGCAGCTCACTCATGTTTTTTGGGCTCACCATACCAACATAGTGGATCGTTATGGTGAATACATACGTAGATGGGTATATACAATGTGTGTATATAGTGTAATAACAGCAAAAACACTGTTTGATTGTAGAATATGTCGCATATATGAGGCCCATAATTTTGAGCATAGCGATGTTCTATACTTTGAATTATATAAATTCCACAAATTACACACTTTTAAATAATATTACAGCAAAAAAAAGGAAGAAATGAATGAGAAACTTCAAAATAATTGCGCAACATTTTATTCGCAGCAACTGCCGTCGCACGGGGTGGCGGGGCCGACAGACCCCCATCGCTCCAACGCTCAGCGCCCATAATTTGCTCAACTTCCCAGCTCCATCGCAGCTAAAGTAAGTCACATACAATATTTTTTGTTTAGTTTCCCCGTGATCAGACTCTGCATTTTAACAATATAAGAAGAGAAAAAAATTTTTGGAAAGAATTTATTTCTTGTGCACCAGGGTGTTATTTGGAGACAGAGCAGTTCAGTGGTTAACTACTAAATTTTTTTTTCTCCCACACACGCACCCCCCTAGGAAGCAGCCTGTAACAGCTAACTCCCAGATACCTATTTACTGTTAGGTAACAGGGGTCATCCCCTTTTGTACAAAGAATCTGCTAAAGCTTTTAGGGCTAATCTTTGACACTCGTTTGTCTTTGTCGCCCCATATTTTTTACGTCCGAGTTGAATGCTCTAAGGCCCTTAACTAACTTTAGGTCATGTCCCATACTTCTTGGGGAGCTAATCGACACTGCTCCTCTCTTTACATTCCTCTCTCGTTCTGTCTAAACTCGATTATGGCCCTGTTTACTCGTCTGCTTCTCCTTCTACCCTTCACCATCTGGACACACTGCATCATACTGGGTTACGGCTCAGCTCTGGTACCTTTCCTTCGACACCTACCCTAAGCCTGTATGTTGAAACTGGCGTCCTGTTTCTACAGGATCGCCATGATCGCTACTGTCTTCTCCACCTTGCACGGTCCTTACAGCACCCTCACTCTTGCTTATGTCATGCCTTGACCTTTACCCATCCTGTGGTTCCTGTTCCCCTTCACCACCTATCTCTTTCTGTACGGTTGTCTCTCTTACAAAATGCTCTTTCAGTTTGTGTTACCAATATTTCCCCTCGTGTCATTCCGTCTTTGCCCCTATGGAGGGGTCCCCGTTCCTAAATTCTGTAAGCCTTGACCCACATGACTAAAACTTTTACCCCTCCTACAGTTCTAAATCACCTTTTCCTTGAACACTTTTCTTCACACTTCCACTCTATTTCCGTCTTCACCAATGGGTCTTAAGTCTGCAGACGGTGTAGGCTACTCTGTTGTTTTTCCTGACTGCACCTTTGTGTCTCCTGCCTCCGGAGACTAGCATCTTCATGGCAGAACTTTATGCTATTCTCTATGCTCTTCATCAACTCTTTTCTCGCTGTCAATCCTCCTCTGTGTTTGTAGTTGACACTTGCAGTGCCCTCATGGCTCTAGAATCCTTTAATCCAGTCCATCCTTTGGTAGTTGAAATTCAACATTGGCTGTTTCTTATCTCCAGTAGATTTAAGACAGTGGAATTTCGCTGGATTCCCACCCATATTGGTGTGTTCTTAAATGAGCGTGCGGACACTGCCGCTAAGGAAGCTATCCGCACCTGTCCCATCTCCCGTAAAGGTATTCCTTATTATGACTTTTACCCAGTTATTCATTTCCCCATTCTTGCCCGTTGTCAGGGTTGTTGGTCTTCTGTTACTGGTAACAAACTGCGTGCTCTTAAGAGTAGTGTGTTCCCGTGGCCTTCCTCCTACCACCGTAACCGGTGGTGGGAAACGGCTCTGGCGAGGTTGTATATTGGTCATACACGTTTAACTCACGGGCACTTAATGGAGCGCTGCCCTGCTTCTTATTGTCCAAACCGTTGTCTCTACATGTCCTGACTTCCAGGACTTACGTGTCTTGCTTCCCGACCATCCCTCACTGTCAATTGTCCCTCGATAAAATTCTTGGTAAATTCAATACCTTTGATATTGTTCGCCGTATGCGTTTTTGTTCTTGTATTGGCGACGTTAGTGATATTTAGCGCACTATGATTATCCCACACATTTGATGGTTTGATAATTACTGTACTGTACAGTA